ATAAAAAATTTAAAATTATGAGATTATGACACATATTACTTAACCGGAGAAATTAACGCAGTTAATGGTCCGGACACCTAAAGTGGTAATGTTTGTAACGTTTGACACCTAGATGTGCTCAATATTGTAGGCGCCTATTCGGGAAAAAAGTATAATTTGAGCACTTATTTGGGTATTAAGCCAAGTTTATAAAAAGTATAATTTTTTTAATTTGAATAGAATAACATTTTAAGTTAAAATCGAAATGTTATATTTTTTATAATATTTTCGGTTACAATTGAAAATGTCACAAATTTATATAAATTTTATGGTTGTAAACCACAAACTTTTCAAATATAATTTTTTCTATTACAACCGAAAATAATACAAATTTATATAAATTTATAGTTGAAATCCCCACCCTAAAAGATAAAGTTACCCTCTTCCTCCCATAATGTCAAAACCAACCCTTGCCCTCGGCCGTTTCTCTAATTATGTCCAACTTACACAAAAAATTAGGTGGGAGATTACCCTAATCCAAATTAGGGTGCTATTATTATCATTTATTAATAATATCTGCAAAATGTACATACATTATTAATAATGAATAAAGATTAAGAATATATACCATTTTATAATATTTGAACCCACATCACATAAATTAAGTCGAACATCGATAATGTAAAGTTTGATTGTAATTTTTTTTAAATATATTTTTGTTTATAACTATTATTTTTTCCTTTTTGATCCTTAATAATATAAAATTTGAAATTTGATCTCCCACATTTTGCTAAGCTTTTCCCTCACTTTCTGGTGAGAGAGACCACTGGTCTCTCGACAACTAGTTTTAGATTTCAACTTTGAACTCTCAACATTTTCTCTGGTTTTAAGTGCAGCAAAAGGATATCATCATGCATAGATGGTGATAGCTTAACAGCCAGCTTAAACATGAAATTCTCATATGATCTTTTAACAGTGGTGCCATTACATGCACTTGTTGACGATGGCCGATCAAGGCTGTAACAACGTCGTTACGTGGGAATACAGGAAAGGGAACTGGACTGTCAACGAAACGCTGGTGTTGATCGAGGCGAAGGAGATGCATTACGAGAGGAGGATGAAGAGCGACGGAAGAGGCAACAAACCGACCGAATTGAGATGGAAATGGGGGGAAGATTATTGCTGGAAAAAGGGTTGCTTGAGGAGCCAAAACCAGTGCAAGTGCAACGACAAGTGGGATAATCTCATGCGGAACTACAATAAGGTGAGGGAGTACCAGAGGAGTATTGCAGCTGATTGCAAGGAAGGTGGAGGATCATATTGGGAGATGGAGAAGAACGAAAGGAAACAAAAGAACTTGCCTAGTAACATGTTGCGCCAGATGTATGAGCGTTTAGAACAGGTGGTGGAGAAGAAAGGACCTCAAACGGCGGTGGGCTGGCGGCGGCGGTTCAGATCCCAATATTCCCAACTTACCTTTGGTTATGGATAGACCAATGACTAGTACTGTTCAACCTTCATTGCCTCCTCTTTTGCAACAACACTAAGTACTCCAAGTTCCTATACCTGCTGCAATTCCATTAACACCACCAGCACCGCCTCCAACGGCAGCTCCAGTTTCATGTGTTCAGCCACTTCCCATCGTAGGTAGGTACTCTCTCTTCCTCCTTCCTTTGACCTTGGTCGCATACCATATACTTGAAACCAACGTTCCATATTTTTTATGTATTGGAGATGTGTGATTATATAGCTCAGATTCTGATACGAGTGAGTATTCAGACTCACCATCAAAGAGAAGGAGAAGAGGAGGAGATAATGGTGAAGGCACCACCAGTGACGGTAACTCCGACGAAGTGAGCACCGCAATCTCCAAAACCGCTTTCATTATAGCAGAAGCCATCCATGCCAGTGAAGAAAGAGAGGAGAGACGACATAGAGATCTCCTAAACTTCCATGAAAGAAGACTGAAGATGGAAGAATCCAAGACCGAGATCAACAAAAAAGGCATGGACGGCCTGGTCGATGCCATTAACAAGCTTGCTAATTCCATCATCGCTTTAGCTTCCCACAAGAACCAGTCATCAGCTCCAAAATGAGATTAATTAATCACATTGGTAGTTGCATATAGTAATTTGTAATCCCATTTCTAATTGCCTGTATCTTTGATTTCCAGTGTTAAAACACAAACTTTTTTGCACGGTTAATCACTCACGGAGTGTGAACCACACATGCCACGGTGAGGGAAGTGATAGTCGTTGGGAGCTAGCATCTTATCTCATCATTTATGAGGTAGAAATATTGTTGCAGCAGAAAAATGAGCATTGCAGTGACCAGTACTCTGGTACTGGTCAAAAGGCGTCCAGTCAATGCATCTCTGAACAACCCTGTGTGGTCCGAGGGATGTCTGGTTCCATTAAATTTACAGAAATGCCATTCTGGGGTTGCACTATTATGGAGCTAGGTTCTTGTATTGTGTTTTTTTCCCTGTGGCCTGTGACAAAAGTGGACCTTCTTTATTTTCCTCTTTATTTTCCACTAAGAATCAGATTTCAGAATGAGAGAGAAAAGAAGGATGAATGAGGCCTTTATGGCTAATTTGGTAGCCTTTGGTTTATAATTTTCTGACAAAAAAGGGCTTTTTATAAACGCAGCTTTATAGAGTGTTATTACTATGTAAGAGAGGCAGGATATATAATAGCCATTTTCAGCCTTTTTCCCCCACCTTTGTTCACCAGTTACCATCTACCCCTCCCTCCATTCTGGTCTTATTTGCTTCATGTTGTTGACAAGTTAATAGGGATGGTGGTCATAGGTCTGGTCGGGTTTTTAGCTCATCCAAACCTGACCTGAATATTACACCTATCCATCCGCACCTCATATAAAATTCGACCCGACTCGACATAAATATAATCATGACAATTAGGCGACATTCAAAACCCTGCAGCTAAAATGAATGCACATTTTGAATAAATATTAATATTGTTGTGTCAATCAGAGAAACTCAAATAATCAACAAACGTTCAAACATCGCAATCAATTTGGATGTAAGCTTTGAGAGGAAATTGTGCTCATGAAAACAAAATAATTGAGACTTGGTGTAGGTATACAGATCATAACAAGGCAACTACTAAAATGATTATCGAAATATATATTAGATTGGGACCATTTACATCATCGCCATCTCCATCGACCTGAAATCGGATCAGACTCGGTTTTCTTTTCCTTTAGTACTCAGATTTTGACCCTTTTTCTCTATGATTTATACATGGCAGCAGTGGTAGAAAAATGTAAAAATCTCGGGGCAGAACGATACCTGAAAAACATTAGGCATCTATTCCCGATATCCGTCGACATCACTGCCTCTTTGTTAAAACCTTCACCACACCTTTAATAATCTTTCCAAACCACATCAAGTTCATAATGGCTAACACGGATGGCACCCCGAAAACCAACATGTAGCCAAAGACATGCATCTTGATCACCTATTTGAGCCAATCGAGTCAGAACAGATTCTTAGCAAATACTTATAACAGACAAATCGGTTGCACATGAATTGTTCTAATAGTTTACAGTTTCTGCGTGGAATTTCAGAAAAGTCGGTTGCAGTAGGGCGTACAATCTTAGACAACACATTTGACGGACGGTGAATATCGGGATGAAAGGGAAATTGACATAAAAGAAGAGCATGGAGGCAAAAGTACCTGTGTATAATGCAAGTATACATGGTAGAACATGTAGCCGAATAGCAGAACTCTTGCAATCTACAATTTATAATTTACTTCAGTTTCTACAAATAGCGGACCATATCCATTTTACGATGAAAAAAACAAAAAGTTGAGCTCACCAGCCAAGCCAAAAAGATGACAACACCATTGATGAGATATGCAGTGGACCTCTTCATACCAGCCGTGTCAAGATACCTTCATGAAAGAAACAGGAGATGGTTTAATTTAATATCCGAAATTCAACAAACGGAATCCCAACAATTCAAACTTACCATCTTATGTTTATCTCTGGAGTTGTCACCTCAGATATAAGAACCATGTATGTATAAAGCTGCGCTTCTCCGGTAAACATTGAATATGCCACCGCAATTCCCGAAAGTGTGTGATGGATAACCTGCAACCAGATGCTAATATCTTATTAGTCATCATCGCTTAACACCACATATACTAAACAAACATAAGCGCTTTTAAGGACGAGGCATCCTATCATTTGTTGTCTGCTTCGCTTTAAATTGTTACCGGTTGTATAAATACTCAACTCCATTCAATTAATGAATCACAGGGTTAGTCTAGAAAAAGACGGAGTTTTTAAAGATGCAATTTGGAAGGATGCTGAAGGCATCCCTCGAATATTTATGGACACTCGGACCACAGTGACAACGGTTACCATCCTTCTTTACAACAGAAACACAAGAAACAAATAATAAAATGCAAGTCAGAATGCTATCCACATAGAGAATACACTTACATATTCTATTCACCTAAGAAGGATATAGCCACAAATCATTCCAAGATCTGAAAGGAAGTATCCAACAGAAACCTGTAAAATAATAGTAAACTATTTTAGGAAGTTCTCGGATTAGCACCAGAAGTAGCACTCGATTTTATCCAGGATAGTCAATGAAGAGCCGGTTGCCACCCTGTAAACATTGCTAATCACTTCCACACAAAAGCTGAAATGATAAAGAAATTTCTTCTTCGGAGGAACTATATAAGCATATAATCCTAATGAATGAGCCGAAAGCCAGCGGCATAAGCATTATATGAGACAGTATCCGTGTTAAAAAAAGCTAACATGGATCCTAGTTCACAGTCGAAATTTTACAGAGAACAGATCAATTGTCCACAAGATAATCGGTTGAACCTCTTAAAGGTCACATAAGAAGGTTAACACTCACCCCTAATCCAAAAGTAGAAAGTGTGACTTCTGAAGACGAGAAGACCAGCAAGTTCATCAGAAAGAGATTCGACCCGAAAACAAGGTACAACGACAAAGCAGAAATAAAAACAGCATGAACTGTAGAGATGCCACTGTCAAAAATATGTTTAACGAGCAATGAGAGAGCAAACATTATATCAGAAGCACAATATGGAGAAACTAGATCATCACTACACTAACCGATTGTCCACTCTACTCGTTGAATTTTGGTAGACCAGTGTAAGTCTTGCAGTAAGAACCGCTGATTAATCGGGTAAGATCTAGGCCTGAGAGACGAGGAGAAACATGTATAATAAGGAAACGAAGGGAAAACATCCAATGATCAATGATCTAGTTAAAAATGTGTAAATTCATTCATCCGAGCTTCATAATAAAAGGGTATAAGGAAACATATTTAGTAGGACAAAAACTCGATTACCGCTTTGCAAGCAGAATGCCGCCAAGGATGGAAGTGTATGGAATGAAGGGATCTGCAAATATGTATCTTAACCAACAACTGAGCCTGGTTTGGTAAGACTTCATAGCCATCACCGTCTGTTTAGGAACTTCTCTCATATTGGAATCTCGAAATCACATTCCTAACATGAGTACCTTCTCTTAGTCTCCCACATCCTTAATCATGGATTCCATAACACAATCATGGAGTCCATAACACAAACAATAAGGTTGCCAGAGACAAGAAAATTTAGATATTCAGGAGGTTTTTCTACATAGATGCCAATTTTCCCTATTCCAAGAAATATATAGGTATAAAAAAAATTCCATTTAACAACAACTTCAATTCAAACAAGCCAAAGCAAACAAGAAACAACCAAAATTCTGAAAGTTTAATAGAAATGAACAAAGCAAAATACTAATGGTAAGATTCAGATCAAACAAACATTTCCATTTCAGGTGAGCAAATGCAAATAAGCTAGGAGAAAGCACTGAAATATGAAGTAATCCATTTGAGGAACACCTAGGTAATAATGGAATCCAAAGCAACATAAAGCAATTAAAAACAAACACGATAGAAGCAAAGTAGCTGAGGCATCTGATAAATGTGCTTACCCTAAACAAGGATTAGTTACTCGAAGAAGCAACCACGAAATCTAAACAAAATGCAGTTGGGTATTAAAAGGAAGAAAGAAAAAATAATCTTTGAAAGAGAAACCATATACCAGAGACCAGAAAAAAAGGGTTTTTCCAGGGCTAATCAGTGGTTAAGACCCAGAAAAAAGAAAACTTTAAAACCCAAAGCTAAAGAGCAAAAATGGGCACTTGACAAAATGGCAAATCAATGCAGAAGTGAAGAACAACCCATGAAAGAAAAAGGCTCAAAACAAAAGCATAAGGTAGAAAAAAGAGGAAAGGAGTAAAATGAAATCTTTTGTGTACCAAATGAAGTAAAAAAGAAAAGTAGCAGTGGCACCAACCGTGAGATTTAAGCAATGTAGCAAGAGTATTTTCGAATTTCCAACTAACTTAATAATAACCAAAATAATTGAAGGATATATATATACATACGAAGCAAAGCTGCAAAAGGAGCTGAAGAAAAAGGATAGATCGGTGGATATACTTGAGAGGTGATAGGTCATGGGATCATTGGCTGATGAAAATTTTGGTGTGTCAACTTATTTGGTTGGTTTTGGGCACTTTACAGTGTGGTGGAGTTTGCCATTGCAATCTTATACCTTGCGATATCCAGGGGGGAAATGTGTGACACTTGTTTTCTGGGTGTTGGAATTTTTTTGGGATTTTACTCTTTATAACATTTTTCCTCTCTTTTGCTTGAATCAAAAGATCCAAGTGATGAAATTTCATTTCATTGCTTTTTGTTTCTAACCCTGTTGGATTGAAAACTCTTTGACGTGGGAAATGTGTGATTGTTTTGTTGCTTTTCACCATTGTTACTTGTTACTCTTTTTTAGATCCACAATTTTATTGTTTTGTGAGAGGGTTGAGTGTATAAAAAAAATAAAAACTACTGAAGCAGCATTGAATTTGAAGGGAAATCTTATAATATGGAGGTGTGAGCTGGAAACGAGTTCCATGAGGTAATAACAAATTAACAATCATTATATATATATATATATATATTAAATCAAAGAACTCGTTGAATAATGTGTTTGTTCGTCTAGAGAATAAAAAAGGGTTCAAGGATTATTATCAAATTATATCGGAATTTATTCATCACTCATCACATTTGGTAAACAAATGGTAGTCTTATTTCTCTTATATATATATATATATATAAATGTGTGATAGTTGAATTAGCTTCGAGTAAATGAGATGGATGGGTTGGGTGGGTTCTACCCAAGTGGATGGTTTAAGGAAAGATATATGTTGATCAATGAAATGAATAAGAAAGATTAAATGAAGTGGTTGTATCTAACCACCCATTTTCATTCTTTCATACCAGATGATGCCTCATCTTTCCTATCAAGCAATGCCTTTGGGAGCAATTGCCTGAAATATGCTGCTGAGAACAGACGGTGTGAATGGATGACTGCATGTATATTCTTTCTTTTACAGCCATCTGATACGTTCAACACAAACAGCAGTTATACTTCTTTTCATAGTAATGTTCCCGAGACGTGAGGAACGGAATCAGATATGCTTCCAAACCCAGAGTTGAAAACACATCAACAAAGATGCCGGGTTGATACGATCGTCAAAGACATTTTCGACTTAGCATTGCTATCCATAACTAATTATGGATCCGAAGTGCAGCAAATGAAGAAAGTAGTTGAAAATTTTCTATTTTCATAGATCTCTGTTACTAATGAACATAAAATTCCTATAGGTAAAACTAATGATATGTATAACTTTTGCTCCGGAGGGATTGATTATAGAACAAGCTTTTCCCGGTGACAAAAGGAATAATTATAAGTTTTACTCGCAAGAAATCCTTACCGACGAAAATTTCGTCATAATTTCCTGTACTTGTAGGGGCCACCGTCTCTTAAAGACGATGACGACGACGATGAAGACAACCCATTGCGGTTAAACTCAGCCTTGTCCTTGTTAAATGCCTTTTGGACGTCCTCTTTGAGCTCCCTGAAGCGTGTTCTCTCCATCTTTTGCTCTTCGGGGGTGCCCGTCTCGAGGTAAAACAGATCGGGAAGGTCATCCTCCATGAACTTATCGAGCACTTCTGAGCAATGAGGGAAATAGCGCCGACCCATCTCCACTGCAAAACAGCCAACATGATCAAATTAAGACATTACAATCAAATTTTGTTTGTATCAATTTCCTACAGAAAGGAATTTCTGAACGTAAAACCGAAAAATTGGCTGATACCGAAAAGATATATGGATAAATGGACCTAAATATGAGGAAGTTTAAAGCGTTCGTTCACCTGTTTTCATAAGGGCTTCCATCCTAGCAAGAAGTCTTTTCCTCTGCATAATGGGTGTCTCATTCAGATCAACCTGCCTTAAGTTCCCATTGGAACTTTTTGATGAAAGACCATTAGCAAGCTCGGAGGTTGTCTCGGCATGTGCTATGTCGATGGCGAGTTTTGCTTCACTCGGAAAAGTAATCTTGCCAATGCCACTGCAATAGACAACATCACAAAGAGTTAACCCTCAAAATATGAACTCATTATAGGAGCACTTTCAGAAAGAATGCAATTTGAAGTACAAGTAGAAAACAACATATTTGATATCACATGTCAAAGAGAGTAACTAATGTTCATATTCGTGAACGAATTTACTCGTGTTAATGGTTTCAGATCGACAAAAATTATAAACAGATATAAACGTCAGGAAAACAACATGATAAACAGATTGTCGAGACAGAGAACCACATGAAATCCCCACAGAAAGTAATACCTCGGTTCTCTAGGTACAAAAGTCTCATGTGCAGATCATCAGCCAATGTATGGGAAGTAACAGAAACATCCCCGGCCATTGGATTTCGCCTCATTTCCCTCTCTAGAACATCAATGCATATCCGGTCTTTATTCGTTTCCTTCCCTTGCTCTGTCTTCGAGTGATAATCCTTTGGTCTTGTCAACCTCCGGCAGATGTTAACAGCACTCCGTCCATCCAATGTCAATGTTGAAGCAAATGCCCCCTTTGCTAGAAGTGACATTATCACTGATGGCTCTTTACGCATCGCAGCTATGTGAAGAACCGTGTAACCGCGATAATTTCGCAGGTTGACATCGGCTAGACGCAGACCAAGAATCTCCGAAACAACCTTGGGGTCACAATATGCTGCAGCATAATGGAGGGCAGTCGCATCATCCAAAGTTATGTCAGACTCGGATAAAAGTAGTTTAACAAGTTCGACATCGTCGGAATCCAATGCTTTATGTATTCTCCGGATTCTTTTCTCCCGAAGAGGATCGATCACTTCCTCATTGCCCTCAGCATCAGGTGGAGACTTGCGGCGAAGCAACCGGATACTCTCTGCAACTTCATAAGGAAGCTCTTTCTCGATAAAGATGCTATCAAGATCCGACCTAGCTACTCTATCAACACACTGAGAAACAAGTTGACTACATTGACAATGGAAAGCAACCACAAGGATTGGGAAGATATCTTCTACTAGCGCTTTCTCAACGAAATTAAGAAGACGACGCTGCAAAATATATACAAAAACGAAATAAGTAGAAATTCACTCGGTCTAATCGAGCCGAAAACATTGTATCCATCTTCATTTCAGTTACCATATCAGAGATCTATAAATTTAACCTTACAGTGAGTACACATTCAACATATTTACTAAACATATGTAATTACAACTATGAAAGATCACAAACATTATCCACGTATGTAATTATAAGTAACTATGATAGATCACAAGTCAACTATAACTAATCACCATGACAATCATATACTAACCTGGAAAAGTGGAACAAGCTCTGGTATTCGAAATATCGACGACGCATACATCAACTCGACCGCAAAATTAATGGCGGGACGACAGGCGTCATGAGCACAGACATTATCCACACATGTGGAAACCTCCATGGGAGAAGGCTTGAGCTTCCCTGTATACAAAATAACTCAAGAAAACCTGAAAAGCTTCAAGTCCAATCTTGCCATAAGGCAACAACTCAGACATGTTATAACTCGGTTTCCATCTTTCTCACTAGACTCAGATCCTTTCTTGAAGACTTCATCGAAAAACTTACTCCTAACAGCTAAAATACATCTATGAACACCAACAGGAACACCTTCAACAACTATATCAGCATCACTAAAAGCAGGAGAATTGTCAACAATAAGCTGCTCCAAGCTGGAGCTGAGCTTGGTCAAACTTAAGACTTCAAGGTTAGCCGCAGTTTCTGGGACAGCTGAAAAGGGGGGTAAGTTGTGAGTAACTGACCCATTTGATAGGCGAGAAGATGAAGTGAAACTCAAAGAAGATGATGGCTCAGATAAATAAGCCATTAAAAATCAGGGGAAAATCTTCAATTCATGAACAAGAAAGACCCAAGCTTTGATCCAACCCAAAGATGGGAAAACTAAATCTAGAAGTCAATTGAAAACAGAAAACTGTGTACAAACCCCAAAATAAAACCGTTAGACAAGAATTCTATGCAACAAAGAGGATCCCAGAATGAATCTAATGCTTGAAATTTTCAGACCCTTAAATTAAGATAATAAATGGGAAGAAAAAAATATAAGAAAGGAAAAGTTTTTAAAGAAAGATCAAGAATCAGATCCTAGAAAAAGAAGAAAACCCCATAAATATTCACCAATTTACTCCATAAAGATGTAATAAAAATTGAGACTTTGGCAAGGATCAAAGCTTAATTTGATTTTTTTTTTCTGGGTGTTAATGATGAAAAAAAAGGATAGCAAAGGCTTGAAGGAGAAGCGTAAAAGAAATTAAAATTAAATTAAATTAAGAAAACAATCGTAGCAACGTTCGAGAGAGAGAAAAGACGATTTTTATGAAATTTCGTCTCTTTGGGAATCTTTGGTTGTCAATGTGAGAGACAGAGAATGAAGTCGTTTCGATGACGACGAAGATGATGTGGTGAATTGTAGCTTGATTCCGATGAGGTCATAGGTGACATCATACACATGTGGGACCATTACTGGCTGCTACAGCCGAGCTTTGTACAAGATATTTTGATTTTTAGTTTAATTTCATATAAATTTAGTATTACAAAATAATTAAAAAATTTGTCAAATTAAAAATTTGAAACAAATATATAATAGTTTTAGTTTCTAAAAGTTATCTTTTATCAATTTGATTTTTATTAAAAAAATAAAAATTAATCCCTCGTATTTATAAAATTTATCAATTTTATATTTTTATGATATTATCAAATCAAATGAGTCAATCCGTTAAAAACAACAACAACAAAACTTAATTCCCATATGCAATGGGGTAAGGGGGAGGTAGGGTAGTAGGCTGCCTCCAACGCCAGGTTGAGAGTAGCATCCCCGGCAGTCAGAAAATTAAAAATATAAATAAAATGCAATGCATGTATAAATAAATACAAAAATATATAGTTGAACAGTATTCATATGCAGTTATTAATATTAATATCATAAGCGCGTTTGTAATGGGCAGTAATCCCTGCAAAAAAATCCTGCGAAAAAATCTTTGTATATAGACAGAAACGTAAGACCCGACTAAAATTAAAAGTGGAGAGAATGATACACAGAAATCAAAAGATAGCAAGCCCAGTTCTAAGCCTTCATAAATACCAATAACAGAAACGAATAAAAAGTAGAAATCATGGAAATTACTACAAATGCATTAAAAGAAGACAGAAATGATACACCCTAGAGATGTGACCCACACTACTCGACTATCCTAGTCTTAAGTCTCCATACTTTCCTATCAGGTCATGTCCTCGGTAAGGGCTAAATCCATCAAATCAGATCTCAAGCAGTCTTCCCACTTCCGCCTTGGTCGTCCTCTCCTTCTGGCACCGTCGACTGTAATCGACTCTACCCTCCTGACGCATCTGACGGTAGTCGCCTAAGGACATGCCCAAACCACCGTAGTCTTCCTTCCCTCAATTTTTCGGAAACAGGTGTCACCCCCAAGGACATCCTAATAGCAGAGTTTGTTGTCATATCCCACGGAGTCCTACCGCATGTCCATCGAAGCATTCTCATTTCTGCGGCCTCTATCTTCCTTACATGATCCTTCTTGGTTGCCCAACATTCTGATCCATACAACAGGGCTGGTCTTATTGCCATTCTATAAAATTTTCCCTTAAGTTTTAGAGGCACCTTCTTGTCACACAAAACTCTAGTAGAGGCCCTCCACTTTAGCCATCCCGCCTTATACGGTGTGTAACGTCATCATCTACACCCTCATCTTTATGTATCATAGACCCTAGGTACTTGAAACAATTATTTGAGGGGAGAACGTGTCCTTCTATGCATACTTCTACATCTTCTTCGTTTTGGTCCCTACTGAAGTTTGAACATAAATACTCTATCTTATCAATATTGATCCTTAAACCTTTTTCTTCCAAAGCAGCCTTCCAGGTAGCCAGTCTACTATTCAACTCAGATTTTGTTTCAGCAACTAGGACAATGTCGTCAGAGAAAAGCATACACCATGGTACACCGTCTGGTGTCGCACAATAGATGTCGTCCATAATCAAGGCGAAGATGTAAGGGCTAAGAGCCGACCCCTGGTGGAGTCCGATTTCCACCGGGAATGCCTCGGTGTCGCCAACTGTAGTCCTGACGTATGTAGTAGATTTACAATACATATCACGAATCGCCCGGATATAAATAGTTGAGATCCTTCTCGTTTCCAAAGTCTTCCAGATCGTATCGCGGGGAACGCTATCATAAGTTGAATAATTGCATTATACTATATAGTAACAAATTAATATTATTATTATGAATGGACATTTGACTCAACCTTAAAAAATTACAATCCAAATCGGTGATGTTAATTTTTTCATATATAAATTTAGATTTAGGTCGAGTCAGTTTGAGTTTAGAATGAAAAAACTCAATCTGATCCAATGTAATATTATAATTATAACAATATATATTTTAATTATCGCTTATATATATTATAATTACAACAATAACTCTTTTTATATTATTTTTTAATTATATATTTATTTTATCTAATCAAAATAAATTATATATATATTGGTTAGGATGTGAATTTTGATTAAAAATTGAGTTGGATTTCATTTCGTATGACACCCTTTTAAATCTAAATCGGGTGCAGGTATAGGAGTTAAATTTTTGTGTCTGGTTAGAGACATGACCCATGTTGATCCATGGTTGTTATTAGGGGTGTGTAAAAATACTCGACTCGTCGACCCGTAACTAAAAAAATCAAGTAATTGTCTAAAAAAAGTTATTCGGTCGGGTTGGGGTCGGGTCACAAAATTGAATTTTTCCGGTTACCCGGGAACCCGGTTAGGAATTTTTTTAGGGTAAACTACATATTTGGTCGCTTATATATTATCTAATTTATGTTTTAGTCATTCGATTATTATTTAGGGTAAACTACCTATTTGGTCACTTATATATTATCTTATTTATGCTTTGGTCACTTGATTATTATTTAGGGTAAACTACCTATTTGGTCACTTATATATTATCTAATTTATGTTTTGGTCACTCGATTATTATTATTTTTCAAAATTATACATAACGTTACGTTTTGATTATATTTTGGTCACCCATATTTAAAAATGAACAATGATGCTAACATGGCATTTTTTAATTATGTTTGGATGTTGGACTAACATTTTTTAATTATGTTTGGATGTTAGACTATGTAATTCGAAGTTTAGAACATTTAAATTTGTGTGTATTTTTTAATTAATAATTTGAAAAAAACGGGTATCCGAAAAATCTAGGTACCCAATTACCGGATACCCGTAACTTCCGGATCGAGACACGGGCTGATAAATCAATTACCCGAAGATCCGGGTACCCGAATTTGCACACCCCTAGTTGTTATAATAAGAAATTAGCGTAACATTTATATGAGAAAAACCATTAATTAGGAGAAGAACAAAAGTCTAAATTATTAAATTTATTGAATTAGAAATAAATTAAGAAACTAAAACTATTATTATATTCTATTCTATTATTTTGTTTATAACAATACTTTAATTAAATAATTAAATTATAATTTTTAAAAGTGATTAGTTTATAACCATAATAATAATTGAGTATAATCTATCAAACGCTCTCAATAATAAAATAAAACGTTATATTTGGTAAAGGTCTTGAGTTCGAATAACTGTATTTATAGGCGTGTGTATTACCAATAAGTTAAAAAATTCTTAATAAATATTATCTTATAAATAATCTTACACAATTCAAAAAATAATAATAATTGAGTAAATTTAATCTTTTAAGATTTAGAATAATTATAATAAAGAGTTTATTAGGTGTCGTCGATATTATAATAAACCAAAAATAAAACATGCAACGCTCCATAACTTTTATTAAAAGGACATAATTTATTTAATAGTTTTTTTTTTTTGAAAATATTATTTTAATAATTTTGTGAGAATAGTTAAAGGACGTGATGACTTCAATGAATTGACAATTTAACGTGAAAAACGTGAATGCATTTGTGAGGTCGGCAGAGGGAGAATCCAATCGCTAAAGTTTCGTTAGTAGCAATTTCCACCATCCTTCCTTTTACTGTACCTTTGACAAATTGTAAGCTTCCTTTACATTATCCTCATTTTTTTCTCTTTCAAAAAAAAATTAATCGAATCTATTGAAAGACCTTAATCGTTAAATTGAATGTTGTTTCTTTAAAACGTCAGAGTTAAAAATTATATTTACAGAATGTGTGTACGTTGTCAATGATTAAGAAAAATTATAAACAAATATTATTTTTTTCGTATTTTTATCTAAATTGTATTGTTGATGATGTTCTTTATTTTCCTAAATAAAATAAAATAATAGAAATATAATTTTATATTAATATTTTTTTAATTTAAATTAATACGTGATGAAATGTATAAATTTTCTGTTAACAAGTGAATGAATCTTTCGCTTCATATTTTATTTTCGAAACAAGAGGATTGGACAATGGGTTAGCATCGGCACCATTGCTCTGTTTCTCAGAGCTATTTTGTTACATTCGTCACGTGGAGATGTTGTGCTCGAACAAGGACAATCTGGACTTGGTTTATTTCGTCACAATCCGATGACCGGATTAAAGCTTGGTCGAAACGAGATCGATGTTCGGTGGCCATGTTAAGCATACAATGTACCAGGGGAATATAATGTCTGATTCAAATGGTTCACATGCCGTCTCTTCTGTAAGGAAATTTATATATGCATACAGCAACACATAATGTAACATATGGTAAAACATAGATCATCATCATCCATTTTTTTCCCTCTCCCTATTAAAACTTGTTTTGGTCGGGTCGGGTCTCGGGTGGATGACTCCTTGTTCTCGGGTCGGGTCGGGTGGATCAAAAACCTGACCCATGCCATCTTTGCTTACACCTAATTTTCTACCCAGTGAATGGCATTTTTATTTTTGGATAATTCGTATCCTTTGTATACTGAAATGGCATTTTAATGTATTTACTTCCACCTTAAGATTTCGACAATATGGATATAGGATAATTATAATTTATTTATTTCTTAAAAAATAACATTTTAATTATTTATATTATCAATTTATGTCATGTAACTTTGATTTAATGAACTCTGTCGAAAGAAAATCAACTAAATCCATATAATTCAAAAGCCTTGTCGATGACACGTTTCAACAGCCCGACCATGATCAACGCAGTCAGACTATTCTCTTCATGTGTCTTAAAAAAGCAATTCTGAGCGGTATCCCGAATTGAATCATTACGGAGAAGAACATCATAATAAGCTCCGAAGAAGAAGAGGATAAGTGGATGTTAAGTAGCTAAAGAATGCAACCACCAAGACCCATTCCTCCAAACATTTGATGGAAACAAAGGGCAGCCACCAGACCTTTAATGGTGCAAGTGTTGTTGGAAGCTCCTAGTGAAGTGCCATTGACTTGGACTTCCATTTCCCACCTCCTGCGTCCCTACTAATTAAGGGCATCGAGAGCCCAAGTTAGATCTCTTCTGACCCATAGGGCTGCCCATCTGCAGTCATTTGGGATATGCCCAATTGCTCTACATATACACACAATCTTCAATCATTTTGGTTTGGGCCATTAAACCCATCAATACACTCGGTTAGACCTGTTCAAGAGTAAGATTATTTGTCCAACCTCATATACAAAAACCTCATTTAAATGAAAGCTGGGTAGTTGAGTTTTGTTGGTCACTACGACCTCGTGTTTTAAAACTTCAAAAAGCAAGACATAATCAGTACATTCCTAATATGGGGTGTGTTCACCCATGTTGTTCATTGAAAGTGGCCTCCAAGGTAGTGTGTAGGCTTAGCACAAGTTAATTGCTATATATGTATTTTTAATGGGGGAGAATGTGATGTGTTCAACCGTATCTTTATTAAAAAATATTTCTTTCATTGCTTCCCCCTTCCTTATTGGCCCATCCTCGCTGGGTTTTTGATTGATTCAACATTGGAACAATGAACTAAAAGTACCAATGGACACGTGAATCCCTTAAAAGTAAACACATGACTAGCTTTGAAATTTCCAGATGAAGGGATATTGCATTGTGGAACAATCCTTTCTTTTTTACCTAACTTTGCTATTGTGAGTGGGATGACATAAAGAGAAAATGTGTTGGGGGTGGGAACAAAAGAGTAAAAATAGATCTCGAGTTTAAGGTGTTGCGTATGTAGAAAATCTTTACCGGGATACTCATTTACTAAAACCAATAGGGACACTTGTCGAGATGATATTGTAGAACAGCTAGGGTAATTAATTAACTTAAATCCATACAAATTAAACTTATGTATGCTACCCCAAAGATATAAATTAATGTTATCAATTTAATTAAAATTTAATTGTTATTATTGTTATATTTGAACCTATAATTTTAAGAAAGAATATATAATCACTTATATCATTAAATGAATCATATTATATTTTATCATATTTGTTTTCGTGCGTTAGAAACTTAGCATTACACATTTACACAGCCCACCACCCTTTGGCCTTTACCCCACTTATTTAAACTATGCTCCATCATCATCTCTCTCAATGTTTCTCTATTTTTTTTGTCGGCTTTGCACCCTCCAAGATTAGCACCGCACCGCAACCCAACACGGCTCTCTGCCAAATTAAACACACACGTAAATGAAAATTGAGAGGCTCATTATTATTTCATTATCATCTGCAGCATTTGCAGAGAGTGGGGCAGAAAAGAAAATGGCGGTAAACGCCAAAGGGTTTGGACCCATCATGTTCAACTCACATTCCAACCATCTTTTTTGCTGCACTTCCTCGGCGTGTTTTTAGGGTTCTTTTTCTTTCTGCTCTTTTTGTGGAGATTATTCACTTCCCTTGGACACTTGGACAGCTGCTCTCTCTCTCTCTCTGTTTATGTATACGTAAAAGAGCGAGCAGCCCTTTCTTTTTCATGTCTCGTCTCACCACTTCTCCTATAAACGCCACATATTTGCCCATTGATATCGACTCGTCATCAATGATGATTGCTTAAATTGTGGTTTTTGTCCCTATACTATGCTCCTATTCCGAATTTAGTCATTCTACTTATTATAATGATGGGGTTATCAAGATTCCAACCTGAAAATTCGTGTTCCAACATCTCCTTTGATCCACCTATGTACGGCAACATACAGCAAGAAGCACCTTCTCTTTGTTAGACGCTCTTTTTGAGAACAAATTCATGACCTCTTATGCAGACAATATCTCATCGAGAGCAGATACTGATAATCCTTACGTGAACAAATTCAACCATGATCTCCCAAAGTATAATAAAGGGACCGAAACCATAATTTGACAATTTTGATAATATAATGCCCTGAAAATGATACCAATTGATGAGATGATAAGATAAGTCAAGTAGGGTTAGGTCGGAAAACGTATACAAATACAGACAAATGCAAGTGGGTGAACATGAAGCGGTAAGTGAATGATGCTAATTTTGAGGAAGAGATATCACCTGCATATGCATTATGAAGGATCTCTTTGTGGGGTTCTATGATATATGTAACATCAGCTGACACAATACACAGAGAGTGACAGACGTTTTTATTACCTTTAAAACTTAGGTTTAGGGCATCTCATGCCATAATTCATACTTCGACATTTCTTTTATGTCTTTTCCGTGTTTTGTCTTTGCCTTCACCTTTTATTTTACGCTGTAATATAATAAGCTTATTGTTATGGTACTGCTATTGCCATTACCATTGCCGTTTGCCATGTAGATTTCCATCACACCCGCATCTCATTTAGTAATTATTGTTGCAGTACTCTGTTGTTTTGTTGTAATTTTTATCTTTTTTAATGTATAATTTACTTACACCAGAAGGGCGAAGGGGGTGGGCCTAAAATATAGGGACTAATATGGACCTAAAAATTTGTAGGGATGAAGTTGGAAAAAAATTTCGTGTTTAGTGAGTAAATGTTTCTTTTATCTCTTAAAACTATATTAAAATTAAGGTCTAATTTTCAAATTCTCATCACTATACTTTACGAAAGATAAGAAATTAGTCCATGTACTTTAATTAGTTATAATTTGATCATCTATTCTTTTTAAATAAAGAAATTAATCCAACAATTAAGTCTTAATTAAGTAGGTGGCAAACTTAGCTAGCTAGTGGGTATATATATAGTATTCAATTAAATCCCATTCATTTAATTCAAAGTAGAGGTATGGACTGACAAGACATTTCTCCATTAGCCAATTTCATCGTTGAAAATGAAAGGCAACTGATACTTAAGTTCTCTAAAGATGGTACCTTTTTTTTTTTTGATATAACAATAAGACAAGAATTAGCCGGAGGTTTGAAGATCTCGCAGCAGCGTGGAAGATAACTCCGAATGTGGCTCTAAGAAAATAGTAGCAGCAATGGGGCTCCTCGACTCAAAGCCAGCCTATCCGCAACCATATTTTACTCCCTAAATACATGTGATACCTTTATGCTCCACTCAAGTTCGAGGAGCTCATGGATTTTAGTAACCAAACCACTCCCCACAAGCGCAGCCGAAGAAAAAGTGCAGATCTTCATAACCTCTAGATTATCGGTTTCCAGTTCAATTTTTCGAATTCCTAGCCTCCAAGCATGCAACAAGATATCATGAACACCTCACAACTCAGCGGTAAGAATCGAACACCTTCCTAGGCTACGCGTGAAACCAAAAATCCATTCTCCCTCAGAGTTGCGCAGAACACCTCCTGCAACCACCATATTATCACATGTTCTTACAGCCCATCCGAATTTCCCTTAATCCAACCTGTGGGAGGCCGAATCCAAAACAAAATACTTCTAGATATCGATGGACTAGAATTAGTGGTGCTAACCTTAGCAATCACAATATCATCAACAAAGCGATCGCAACGATAAATGAACTCCTCTCTTTCCACATAATTTGGATCAAAGAGAATACTACATCTTCGTTTCCAAAGGTGCCAACAGTAAACAGAGAAGCGAATATCCCAATTATCATTCATTCGTGCATACACTTCAGTAGCCCTTAAGTTGCGTTCAATCCAAATCTTGTAAGGAAGAGCCAAGAACTCATTAAGCTTGTCAGGCTTGATAACCCTTACCCACAGATTCATAGCCATACTGCAATGACGCAAAATATGGTCAGCATCCTCCCTAACAGCCCCACAAATCTTACAATCCACTAGGCTAGAAAGGTGCCGACGAGATCGTTCAACATTGGTAAGAATTCGATCATGGAATAATAGTCAAAGAAAAGTACGAATTCTTTGTGGAACTTCTAGCTTCCAAATCAAACTCCATAGAGGATGTTCCTTACTATTGTCAAGGCATGTGATTTCAGTATAGGCTGACCTTGTCGTGATATTTCTATGGGGCTCCCATCTCCACCCGGGTGTATCAGTACCCAAGTAATCTTGGGGTAATTATCAATATTTAATTTATTTATTTATTAATGTAAATTAAATAGTAAAAGATTATTATAAAAAATTAAGTTTAATTTTTTTTTATTCATAATACAAAATTCAGAGATTTTTATTTATTCTAAATTTTTTGATTTAATAATATTGTAAATCCTATCAGTTTAATTTAGGTTACATTAAACTTTTATTCTTTTTTACTTTTGTGAATTAAATATTTCATCAATCTCTGTTATTTTAAACGTAAATAATTATCTATATCAATATTTGATATGAATTCTCTATAATCTTAAATATAATAAGAATTTGTGTAATTATCGAATCATCATTGTAATAAAATAAATAAATATTCACATTTTAACACTAAAATAGAGGGAAAATAAAGAAATTTTATCTGGTCCATTTCTTGAAACATATCTAATTTTTGGCTGTGTTTTTGTTTTTGTTTTCACTAAAACTCTAAATAAAAAATAAAATAAAAAATTGTTTCAGGACATGTTAACATGAACACTGGCATTGGTGACAGAGTGACAAACAGGGCAAGTGCCTACCCGAGTGGACCCGCACATTGCACACAGACAAAGATGCCTGCATGGCAGCAACACAACACCCGACTCCTTCTCCCCACACTTCCTGCACTTCCTCGCCGCCTGCTCTTGCGGCGGCACCACCACCACCTTGCGCCACCCTTCGTCGCTGCTTCCGCAGCTAGACTCCGCATCATCAACAGAGCCTTCGCCCTTCGCGTGGCGTTCCTCGCCGACATGGGCCAGGACCTGTTCTAGATTGGTGCGTAGAGAATTGGCCGTGGCTTCGTTCGTTTGAGCCAAGTCCCGCCATAGTTGGTTCTCCAAACAGAGGCTTTTCACCCTTTCTTGAAGAACCCAGTTCAGTTTCCCCAGTTTTTGAATCTCATCGTCTTTCTCCTTCAGTTTCTTCATAAAACCATCTTGGATCGCCGACAACAACATTCTGGATTGCTTCTTCCTCCTTTCTTCAAGCTCCACACTCACCTTTTCTAGCTGTAATCAACCCAAAAATACTTAAATAAATCACCGACACCATTAAACAAAACTTAATTTTTCTAAAAGAAAACTCACGTGTTGAGCAATCAAACGGTCGATTTCTTGGTTCTGTTGTTGCTGGATCTGAGAGAAAACATCAGAATATTTGTTCTGTCGAGGAACTGTGTACAATTCATCTCTTGGCCTTTTACTCTCAGCCGAAACTGGGATATTCATGTTATACGTAACCACACTATCAGCTTTGTTGATTGAATTTTTGCAAATAGATTGATAAACAACAGCTTCTTGCATTGTTTCAACCAAAGGAACACAGGTATTCATCTGGGAATTGTTAACTTCCATAAAATCTCTGCTGCAACAAAAAAGAAAACCCCATGTTAAAAAATTGAAAAACAAAACCCAGAATTTATACAGAAACAGATGTGATATTTTTTTTAAGTTTACCCATTGGGAATGAACTGAGGAGGAAAAATATTCATATTAGGGGCTTTGACTGCCATTTGATTCTGAGTTTGCTCAAGTCTTTGTTGTTGTTTGAGAATGATATATAAGTGAAAGAAGAAGGGAAAGGGAGGGAGAGATAAAAGGAGAGTTCTTTGGCCCCGAAGGAGAGAACTAAGGGAAAATGAGATGGATGAAGCATCAACAGATTTATTAGGGTTTGGTTTTTAATAGTGAGAGATGAAGTCAAAAACGACTTTCCGATTATTTTACTTGGTAAAACATGGGGTGGCAGTGGTAGATTTTGTCTTTAGATTAGATTTGGTTTATAATACAAACTCATTCCTTGGTCATTGTATTTTATGCACATTGAAATTTTCGTTCCTTTATTTATAATTTTAACAATTTAATCTCTCCGCTTTTTATATTTAACATTGTAAATTCATTGAGTGATCCTATTAATGTAGAGTGGTTTGTTTTTCTCGATCATTCAAGTTCGAATAATTATGTTTACAAGGGGTGAAATAAAATCTAAATAATTTAGGATTGTTTAATGTTGAATATTACTTTTTTAAATCACATAATCCAATTTGATAGAATTTCTTTAACATCATCAAATGAATTACAAAGAGTGAAACACTAAATTCAAGGATCAAAAGTAGAAAGCTCAAACGTGTAATAAATGAATATTATAGGCACTCAAATCATATTAGACCTTTTTTTTATTTACTTCGGTTTCATTGCCCCCGTGTTTGGCTCGGTAAAAGGAAAACTTAAGAGGGGCAAAAAGGGAATTCGCACATCATCACTTTTCGGTTCTGTCAAACGTGGGATTTAGTGTGTTTAATCAAACACTGATTATGGGCTGGCTGGCTGTCTGTCACACACACATGTATAATATATTTTATCTTAGTAACTGACATGCTGCATATCTGCCACGTGTTAGCACCACAAAGTCTCTGCCACGTAAGCCGATATAAACGACCCAGCAAAGGGGTGAATAGAGAGAGGATGTAAATAAATAATTTTATGAAAATTTTAAATGATCGAATATTTTAATATTTTTATTTATAATTTATTATTATCTCAAAATTTGATAATTTTGTTAACTTTAAATATTTAAAAAAAATTATATTATAGAATTTTAAGTACATCCCTAATATAATTATTTTTAAATAAATAAATAGAAACAGGCGAAGGGGTCCGTTGTGAACGTGACCCAAGTAGTGGACCCACTAGCCTTTCCGCATGTGTGAAGCGTGGGATCTTTCCCTAGTCTACGTTTGTGGGTCCATGCTAAAGTTGTAGTTTCCCGTTCCGCTGCCCCTGTCATTGTTTGTCCCTTTTTTTGTTTATTTATTTTTATTTTTATTTTATTTGGTGTCTGTGTACGGACAATTAAGCGTAATAATATCGGTAGTAGTAGTCAGTGAGTAATCTCTTGTGGGACCCTTTTCTGAACTTTGGTTTAATTTCAAATTAGAATGTTAATCCTTCTATTTTAATCGGTCAAAATCCTATATGAAAATTAAGAAACTAATCCAAAGGTTTTTTTTTTAAATAATTGTGTAATTATAAGATAATATTTATTAATTAAAATTTAAATAGTTTTTGTATATCTTTTGATGAAACTACTTAAAATCAAGTTATTCAAAGAGAATAATATTTTTTTTATTAGTGAAACGATTCATTCTTCATTATATTATTATTAAAAGTTTTAAATTTATTATTAATATAAAATTTGTAAATATATGTTATATTTAACTCGAATAAGGTAGACAAATTTGCGTGAGATGTTAGGAGTTCAATTGGTTTGGCATGATAATAGTTAGAAAGTTCAATTGGATTGGCTTCGATGAGCATACGGTAGGACTCTGTGGGACATGACACCAAACTCTGCTATTAGGAAGTCCTTGGGGGTGGTGCTTGTGTCCGAAAAAATGAAGGAGGGAAGACTACGGTGGTTTGGGCATGTCCTTAGGCGACACCCGTCGGATGCCGTCAGGAGGGTATAGTCGATTACAGTCGACGGTGCCAGAAGGAGAGGACAACCAAGGAGGAAGTGGGTAGACTGCTTGAGATCTGATTTGATGGATTTAAACCTTACCGAGGACATGACCTCTGATAGGAAAGTATGGAGACTTAAGACCATGGTAGCCGAGTAGTGTGAGTCACAGCCATAGGGTGTAGCATCTATGTTTTCTTTCTAATGCCTTTGTAGTAATTTCCATGACTTCTACCTTTTACATTTCTGTCATTAGAATTTATGAAGACTTAGAATAGGGTAACGAAGTAGTGTTGCCTTAGTGTAGGTTTAAACTCATTTGACTTTATTCCTTCTAGTAGCTTACTATCGTTGTCTTATGTGTATCATTCTCTTCATGTTTCCCCTGTTTAATTTTAGCCAGGTCTTACGTTTCTGTCCATGTGAAGAGATTTTTTTTTCGCAGGGATCTATTTGCAGGGATTGCTTTCCATTTCAGACACGTATATGAAGATTGCATAAGAATACTGTTCAACCATATATTTAATTATTTATACATGCATTGTATTCTATCTTTATTTTTAATTTTATTTACTGCCAGAGGTCTTTCACGGAAACTGCTCTCAACTCGGCGATGGGGGCAACCTACTACCCTACCTCTCTCTTACCACATCACATATGAAAATAGGGTTTTGTTGTTGTTATTGTTAAAAGAGACTTCATAAATATATATTTAGATTTATTCTAATCTGAATAATAATATATTATAGTTATAATTTGGGTTTTTTTCAATTGGTTTTTTTTTCATAATTTTAAATGTATATTTGAATTAATTGTGATGTTTATTCAATACAAAAATGAATTTTCTTGCCTTCCAAACAGTCCCAAGTTTTGTCAGTGGGGCTGAAATTTCCAGAAAGGTAAAAAAGAAAAGAAAGAGAAAATGGGGTAAGAAAAAAAAAAACACTGCATAGGAAGCAAAGTATATCAATTATTGGAGAAGGTCAACCACATCCATTGGAATCGATGCCAAAAGAAATTAATGAGAGTTTGATTAATTAGCCGACTGACAACAATGACAAGTCACCATCCTTCATAAATCCAAAATTCTCCCATCGACCAAACTTTGGGTCCTCTTTTCCCAGATTAATGAATGAAATGATGGTAAAAACATTGCATACCACAATCACCATGAGATGCTTTTTGACCATATTCCCATGTTACAAGGTATAAATGAGAGAATGATAATAAATAGAGCAGTGTAAGCCATCCCACCCTATATATCTAACATCGAATTCCGTCTCACACACGGACCTTCGAAGGGGAAAAAAGTAACGAATACATTGAATTAACAAAGAAGAAGATGAAAGAAAGAGAAATATTGGAGTTAATTGGCTACCACCCACCACCATCAAAGATGGAGATACTTGTAGAGTGATGGGGGCTCCCACAGCCCCACTACCTTCCCCTATTATTCATCTTTCGCCATTTCTCTCCTTTTCTTTGTGGCCATCTCTTCTATTATTGCCTTTGCTTCCACCATATCTAATCAGGGGTTTTCACTTTAACCACCCTTACAAGATGATAACAAAAACAGCCTTAACCCTACAAAATGATAAAATAATATACACAAAGCATAACACAAAAGTGGATGAGGAAAGATTAAGGATGGGCATGGGTCGGGTTTTCGATCCACCCGACCTGACCCGAGAACAAGGAGTCATCCACCCGAGACCCGACCCAACTCCAACCCGATATATAACTTAAAAATCTGACCCGAACCGAAATAATAAAAAAATTATTTTTATTCAATAAAAATAGTGACTTAATTGAAAAAAATAATATATAGAGGAGTATTATTGTAATTATTCCTAAATATATAAGGTAAAGTTATATATTTTCGGGTCGAATATTTTTCATCCTAAATCCGACCCGACCCGGACATCACATTAAAAAACCCAACCCGACCCGAACCCGTCTTTAAAAAAAAAAAAATCCGACTCGATCGAATCGAGTTCGGGTCTCATGCCCATCCCAAGGAAAGATGAGATGATAATTAAGTTAATGATCGGTCGTTTAAAATTCCATTATTGATCGTGCTATCGAAAAAATAATAGTGTATTATTCACCCCCCAAAAGAAATTAATAGTGTATTTATAATCGATATATTGATAATGTATCTAGGGTAAATTACATGTTTAATACATATACTATTATTCTTGGTATGTTTCAGTTATCCATTTTTTTTCCAAAATCATTTCTAATGTTATGTTTTTGTTTCATTTTGATCACTCGTCATTAAAAAATTAATAGAATTACTAATGTGATATTTTTAAATTTTTTTCATGATGACGTGATAATATTTCATGGTGACAAGCCTGTATTACCGTTAATTTTTTAATGGTGTATGATCAAATTGAAACAAAAATGTAACTTATGCGATTTTAAAACAAAAGATAATTAAATAATAAAAACATAACAAAAATGATAGGTAAGTACTAAACGTGTAGTTTACCTTTATATCTATGATACTATACTTATTAAAAATGATAAAATTTATTAGATGAAAGATATTATATTTATATGCATATAATGATGTAATTGTTTTTTTTATCATATTTATTATTTATTTTACACTTTTTGATAAGATTGATTGATGAGATAATGAAACAAGTCTATGTATAATATATGTATATCATATATAAAAAAATAAGAAGAAATATGTATATTATATGATTATAAAAAATTATTTAAATTAAAATAAAATAATATTATAAATATTATAAATATTTATAATTAAATTTAAAATAGAAACTTGAAAATTTTACTCAACTTGAATTTTGCTTTTTCGAAACGATTATTTCCCTTAAAGTAAGATTTTAAAAGCCATACATTTTTAATTATTTCTCTACGATTAATTTTTAATTAAAAAATAAATGTGATTTAAAAAAATATTTCGTTTCGAAAATTTTGGGATTCCTTTTAAATAAAAAATATATGGTTCGAAGAATCGCCACCAATATTTGATTAGAGTGTGATTGGGCACCCAAAAATATTTTATCATTTTAAATAAAAATTAATTTTAATTAAAACGACAAGTTGAGGGAAGGATTATAAAAAGTCATTTAAATTAAAATAGAATAAAATAATATCATAATATTATAAGTATTTAAAATTAAATTTAAAACAAAAACTCGAAAAGTTTACTCAACTTGAATTTTATAAATTAGATTTGAGTCGAAAAAATTTCAAGTCAAATTCGAGTTATAAAATAGGACTTATCAACTAGAATAGCTCAAAATTTCATAACACGATTCGGTCGAAGCTCATTCTTAAATAAGATTATACAATTAAATTGATCTCTCACTTTATGAGATGGATTTTCTTTATTTTAATTTCTTAGTTGAATTTTTTTTTAATGAAATATTGGTATTTCGGGATGTCTCAGGTACAATAATATTAATATAAGGCTAAAGAAATATGTTACCGAAAATGTTAATATTGGGAGCTACATAAAATGTTTAACATTTCTAGTAAAGCGCTACTTAAAACATTATTTTTTTCTACCGAAAATATTAATATTAGGTTCTACCATAAATTAGTTAACGAAATTAATATTTTCGGTAAAAAATAATGTTTTAACCAACATTTTACCGAAAATATTAAAAAATATATTAATATTTTTAATAAAATATTTCCTTAACCGTATATTAAAATTAAAACTATCGCATAGCATAACTACCGATATTCCGACCATGAAAAAGGGACAAAGAGCTTAGATATCGTGCCCTAAACCATAATAACGATGGCGGTGGTTATATCAAGTCATTTTCTATTATTAAAAAAAAAATCTTTTGAAGGCTGCCCAAACCTAAAGGTTATGATTGTGTGCTGTCATTAGCCACGTTTTATTCATCAAAATTATTGCTGCACAATTCCGACCAATTTTGCAGCCAGACATTCAAACTTTCCATGACGTGGATACATTGTCTTTAAATTAGATAAAAATATTTTATATTTGATCTAAGTTTTCCCTAGCAATTATCGGATAAATTTGTGGGGTCATTTTCCTTGACTAATTAGAAGGTCTAAATAATATATTATTTAAATGCATTGCGGCTTTAATCTGCCTAACATATGTAGCTATATTATTCTTATTATTCATACTATGCTACCCTAATTACATGTTTGACATCAAATCTACATAATTTAATTGAAATCTCTTCGGCTAATAAAACCCTTTTTTTTTATTTTTTTAATTAACCACGGGTATCCGATCTATCGACTGATTAATTCAGACCGATAATTATAAAGGCAAGGGCAACCCTCCCAACCCATTTTGCTCTATTCGCAAACGATAATGTTCGAACCTGTGACATTGATTAAAGAATCTAGTGCCTAATCCCACTAGACCAACTAGTTGTTGGTTAAAACAGTTTTTTATTATTACATAACTGTCTAATTACATATAAATTAACGAGTAATTAAAAGAAATAAAGTTAGGTTGTTTATCTAAATCACGAGAGAAGATGATCAAAGACAAAGCAGTGTTTGTTGAAACCAAAACTCGTTGCCATGTTAACTTGACGACCACAAATTGTGTAATTAGTTCTAATGGTTTTGGACAGAACATTGAATTGATTTGTTCATACAAATTACGCCAATATGTGTCCATACATACGACAGTTCATTGTATTAATATTATATTTACGTATTCTAATTAATCTAATATATTATTATACAGTTGAAATAAATTATTGAAGATATATGAGAGATATATTATTATACGAATTTTACTAATATCATCAATTTAATTTAACAATGTTTAATCTATTCATACACGTGAAAGTAGTCGGGAGAAGTTAGATAGATAATTAAATTCTTTATTTATGCTCAGTTGATCCCCACATGCTAAGGGCACACAGATCACCAATTTTTATTTATTTATTTGTCTAAATATTTCGAGTATTTGATTGCTGCTTTACCCTTAGCATTAATGATTCTGTGTGTGTGTGTGTGTGCAGAAGTTGAATGAAGTGGAGAGAGAAGCAAAGCACATGCGTTGTTAATAGCAATGGGACCATGATTCCCTTAGCCCCAAGGTTTTATGTTGATTTCCAATGACACATCTTTCTGGGGTTTTTTTTTATATCAGATGGGTCCCTTTGGAAACAAGTCTGTAAGAGAAATTGGATGGTTCAGAGATGGCTTTGCTGAGACTTGGAATTTAGATAATAGTTTAAAAATAGAGTGGAGCAGACAGGTCTTAAAGACTTTTAGTTTGATAGAGATTTGTCTGAATGAATCATCGTTCAGACTCTTGACCAAATACACATGGTGAGAGAAATCATGGCCCAAATCTATTGGCATTTGATTTTTAGGGTTATGGATACAAAACTAACATCAAATATTAAGAAGGACGAATCTTCTAAGTTTAAAGTAACAAGGACTCATTAAGTATTTAACCTAAATAATTAGGGGAGCAATAAGGATGAATATTTGACCTAAACCTGATGGGTTCTGACATGGATATATTATGTCGATTTTTTATTGTTGTTGAAAATTTGAGATCGGTTTGGACATGGACGGAGCTAGGGTTTCAACTTGAAGAGGGCAAAGTATAACCTTTTAAAAGTAGGGGAATAATTTCATAATTATCTCTTAAATACTTAAATTTTATATATAAATTAAATGTAAGAAAAATACCGGTTGAGGGGGCAAAACCCCTCCCATGCCCTTAACAGTTTCGTCCCTAGGTTAGGGTTTTTAGAAGGACGGGGTCATGGTCTAATTTAGAATAAAAAAACTTGATTCAACCCAAGAAAATAGTATAACAATCTTATATATTTTTAAGGATAATTGCAAGAATGCTCGTCATATATATATTTTGGATTAGGTACGAGTTTTTATAAAAAAAAATCAGCTTGAATTTTGGGTCGGATGGCACCTCCCTAAACTTGAGTCGGGTTAGGTGCGGGTGGAAGGGTATAATACTCAGGTCAGGTTCCCAATTCATGACTATTCATAGAAAGTATGGTATAATTTAACTAAAATATAAATTGATAGATACTTAAAATGTCATTATACCAAAAATTTTAAAAAATTTCAAATTCACTCTCTACATGACTCTATCACAAGTTCAATGTTCTTTAAAATGAGTTTTCAGTTTGAATCTTGTGAATGAAAAAAAAATTATTTTTGGTACCGATTGAAAATTCAACTCGACCTTGAATATAGTCGGACCCATGTAAGAGGGTTTTATGGTTGAGAAAGAGATTGAGGTGAAGTCAAGCCATTGGATCCAACAAAATCCTGGTCAAGTCAAACATCATTTGGTGGGTTGTACCTATTAATGCAAACATCATTGCTCTCTCTGGTAAACGGTCATTGTAGGGTTGCTGTATATCTTTCCCAGAGTTCTGGTTCTGGTTTAAAGAAGGGTTTTGGGAACCCTCTTTTGTTGTTTTGGTCATAGTTTCAAGTAACCTTTCGAAATTTTACATTTTTTTCTTTCATCGTGGAACTTCTGGTGTTCATTGACTTTTGAAGTCGATAAGGAACTAGACATGATTGCAGGTTTACAGGAGAGATGTTCCAACTTGCTTGTTTCTTCAGGATGCTCAATGCAGTATTGCATATGTTCTTTCAGCTTCGGCCTGTAATTAATGATACGTTATATTTGCTGCGATAATAAGAAAAAATCTCCCAGTTAAGGATTTTCATAGTTTTAGTCAAGAGACGGATACCCGAATTCCTTGTTCAGGCTGTTGGCAGGAGCCGTAGCAGCCTTTCCACTACCATATTTTGACACAAAGTCATCCATGATATGCTCCAAAAAAGCAATAGGTATCTGCCTTCCGGCTCACTGGACTGCAACGACACAATAAGCTGCAACATCGAAAAGTCAGCCAATTTACAAACATAATTGAAAAACAAAAGAGCCGACAATGAGAATGCAAATGATAACACATAAGAAGGTTCTTTCAGCAAGGAGTCAATTAGACTTTCATCGAAGCAATACGCATAAATAATAAAATCCCACTGATTCTTGAATAGACTTATAAATCAATTAGTTGTAGATAATTTTTTACGAGAAATAGTATATGATTTATTAGTCGATGAAGAACAAACTTTTAACTTAATTATTATATTTATAATATTAAAATTTAAACCTTTAATTTTACTGAAATATATTTAAGAATTAATTTCTAAAAATAAAAATCCATGAATCTTAAAGTAGTACATTGTAGGAAAGAGAGGCACTGTATTATATGTGTAGAAGACTACAATTATCATATTTGCAAATTATTTTTTTTGTAATTGTTTTAGATACCAATTTAAGTGCATCTGTGCATGCACTCACAAAGCCAAGACTCTCCTTTGTCAAATACCAATATAAAAAGTTTTCTGGTGTTGGGGACTGTCAAGCTAAATGTACAAAAGGATAAAACGTTGTGAAGATGATGTGAGGGTGAGATTATGTGGAGCATGAGGTCAGGTGCTGGTGAAAAGCAGTGGATCGCACATCCATCATCTCCTGGGCAAAAAAGTAGTAAGCAAATGAGAACGCCGTCTGTGGGAATCGAACCCACGACCACGTGGTTAAAAGCCACGCGCTCTACCGGCTGAGCTAAGACGGCAGGTGTTGAAATGGATTCAATCATAATATTCAATCAAACCCAGAAGGAATCCACCCTTCATCTCGTCCTCCGTCTCACGGGAGGCGCCAAGAAGAGGAAGAAGAAGACCTACACCAAGCCCAAGAAGAAGAAGGTGAAGCTCGCCGTGCTCCAGTTTTACAAGGTGGGTGAGTCCGGGAAGGTTCAGAGGTCCAGGAAAGAGTGCCCCGATGCCGAGTGTGGGGCGGGAACCTTCATGGCTAACCATTTTGACAGGCATTATTGCGGTAAGTGTGGGCTTACTTATGTTTACCAGAAGGCCGGCGGGGATTGATCTGGATTTATTGTTGATTTGAACAATCGTTGTTCGTAATCTAATTTCTGTCTGTTTCTATATGGATTTGGTTTTGGAATTTTGGTTATCGATTTAGCTGTTTGGATAAAAGTTTATGTAGTTTTCTTCTTCATGGTGATTAGCCTGCATTAATTCAAATGAAATGGCTTTATTTGATTTCATCGAGTTATACACAATTCAACTCTAAGCATCAACATATCTCTAGTATATGAACAGCTAAGAAAACATGCATATGTCTCGTGGACTTCTCCTTTATCAGATCTCTAGTATATGAACAAAAAGAAAAAGCTTCTGCTCGTTTCCTTTTCCTACATAAGCTTAATTTCCAGCAAACACAAAAACCCTTAATATCTTTTGGTTCATCTCTTGTTGCTTTCTGTTGTCTGGTATATGTTGGTTTGAGAGGTTGAAGCTGCCGGCATGATGTGGTCATTAACCTATCTATGCAGATTTGGTTGAGCACCAGGTCATCTTGCAGCTTCAATCACTCTGTCACCATCAACAATAGCTGGTTTTGGATATTTGACATTTTGGATTCCACCTTCATTAATCCAGGCAATTATTCTTCTTCTTAATTAACTCGAAATTTTCCCTGATTGATTTGGTGAGAAATTGCAGACTCTACCTCTCTTATTCTTTACTGCTTGCTTGCTATGCATGTGCATGACTCGTACATGAAGCCACATGCACACATTGCATGCCTGTTACCCGTGTGTGAAAACTTCCACTAACGGCTCTCGGCACCATCCTCAACTGTCCCTGACCTCAAACTCAAACCTATATCCACATGGTTCAATAGTTGCATTTAAGTTTCGAATAAGCTAATAGCCTGTGATGTTTTTTTCCCCTTCATGTTCTTCGTATCAACATTAGCACATGATGTTGGGACAAAAGTTGGTGGCATTTATCATAAGGGAGTTTAGTAGAACTTCAATATCATAAATGTTGCATGGATGTATGACATGTGTATGTTATACATAATCTATGACACCAACATTTTTGGACAGTTGTCTGGTGATAAGTTTTAATTTTGGACAATGTTGTTGGGTTGGACTTGGGAGGAACTGGAAATCACCAAGGGACTATGAGGGACTTCATTGTTTCCTTATCTTCTTCTTCTTCAGTTCCTTACCCTTCTGTTTCTGATTGGTGGAAAACTGTGAGGCTCTACACTGACCAGACAGGATCCAACATCACAGGTACTATTTCCCTTTCGGGTGAGTTTTATGATACTGGATATTCCTATGGTGTTTATCTGAGTCTTTTATCGATGCAATCTGTCATTGACTCTGCGGTCACTTCCCCTTCGAGGCCGTTGCCTCTCAACACTCACAACGGCCTCTATTTGGTGCTGACTTCCAATGATGTTTGGGTTGAGGAATCCTGTGAAAAGAAGATCCTTTGGGCCAAATGCCATGGATTAGAAACTTGACCTTGTTGATAAGTGTTGTATATATTTTGCTTGTTTCAAACTCGCAAGGTTCATATAAAGATGTTTGAAAACCAGTGTCCGCTTTGTTAGCACTGTATTCAAATTTGCAGTAGTTTTCTTTTGTATTCTTCATGTCGGTTTGTCGGTTTTACGGTCCATGTACGAGATTCGAAGTTGAGAGAAATTATCATCCGAACGATGATTTACAGCAGTGTTTTAATTAATAAACTGAAGTCTTTCGAAATAAATCATCCAAAAACCTTCAAAAACACCACTTTGCAAGAGCCGGTTGTATCCTGATTACTTTGGCTTTCACTGTTCAGGAAGCTAACATATATCAGGCACAATGTCAACGTGATATCACATACATGAAAATGATGATTAACCATCTGCATAACTCAGACTCGGGTATGTTAGTTAAATACGGGTATGCATTCGACACAAGTATGGCATCCACGAGTGTCGGACAAAGGTATTTAAAGAAAGATGGAGTCCGAACACCATAGATCCTATGCACACAAAGACGGTATTAGCTGTCAAGCCCCGGAGAATAGACGCGTTCCTATAAAGAACAAAATGAAAGCAATTTGCACCAAAGTTCTCTTTTACAACTAACAGCAAAAAGTGTACTATAAAACAAACTACTTCCACCAAACAAAAGGATAAAACTTTCCAAAGCCATAGTTTGCCAGCATTGTGTTTAAACCAAAAAAAATAGCATCTTTGTGTTTAAACAAAAGGAGAACTTTCCTAAGCCATGTCATATGAGCTGTATATTTTGTTTGTTATCATGGTTCCCATAGGTGGAATCACGTTCATGATGCGACTTACAAGTTCTATTTGCACGAGACGATCTTTCATTACCTGATGATCATGTTACAGCTTTCTCCGGAAAGCGATGATTGCAACCAATTCCACAGCTTAAACCTTCACTGATTGTAGAAAGTACTTCCACATTAAACATCTCAACATGCATTTTAACGTCACTACTCGTGCATATGAAGCTGTTGGTGGCTTCCAAAAGTTGACACATTCTCTTACCAAAAATCCAAAATATGGCCTTTGCTTGATTTCAGGAGAGTCCCATTTCTGCAAAAATGTGTACACTAATGCAAGACCTCCCAGACCACCTTTGTCATTTGGCGTTCAGATCGCCTTAATTCAGAGTGCTGATGGATATCTCACCACCAACAGGAGTCAAGTCATTCATTTGATCAATATTGTAAACGAACTCACTCTTTGCAGCTCCATCACCATCATTGTCTTCACAGAAATTCTGAGATGACTCATGAGTAGAATGGCTCACATAATCTCGATCTAGAGACAATCCAGGAGTCAAGTCATTCATCTGTTCAATACTGTAAACAAGTTCGCTCTTTGCAACTCCACTATCATTGTCTTTGCATTTTTGAGATGACTCGTGAGTAGAATGGTGGCTCACATCATCTCGATCTTGAGACAATCCAGGAGTCAAGTTCATCTGTTCAATACCAAAAACGAACTCACTCTTTGCAACTCCACCATCATTGTCTTCACAGATTTTTTTAGATGATTTGTGAGTAGAATGGTGGTTCACATCATATTGATCTTGAGACAATCCAGGAGTCGAGTCTTTCATCTGTTGAATACTGCAAACAACAAACTCACTCTTTGCAGCTCCATCACCATCATTGTCTTCACAGATTTTTTTAGATGACTCACGAGTAGAGTGGTGGCTCACATCATTTTGATCTTGAGACAATCCAGGAGTCGAGTCATTCATCTGTTCAATACCATAAACGAACTCGCTCTTTGCAACTACACAATCATTGTCTTCACAGATTTTTTGAGATGACTCATGAGTAGAATGGTGGCTCACATCATCTTGATCTTGAGACAATCCAGGAGTCAAGTCATTCGTATGTTGAATACTGTAAACAAACTCACTCATTGCAGCTCCATCACCGCCATTGTCTTCACAGATTTTTTGAGATGACTCACGAGTAGAATGGTGACTCACATCGTTCCGATCTTGAGACAATCCAGGAGTCAAATCATTCATCTGTTCAATACTGTGAATGAACTCGCTCTTTGCAACTCCATCACCGTCATTGTCTTCACAGATTTTTGGAGATGGGTCATGAGTAGAATGGTGGCTCACATCATTTCGATCTTGATACAATCCATCCATCCCTGTATCTTTAGTGGTCATATCTTGCTCAACTTCAACATACATGTTCCTACAAGACATTGAAGTCGTACTTGAGACACAGTTACGTTTTGATGATTCTTTTCCACCACCAGCACTTCTTGAATCAAAAATTTTTTCCACACTAAATGGATCTGAATTTGAGCCACTTCCCGTGTCACTGTTGTTGCCTTTAACAGTAGTCTGGCACATTGCATTTTGCAATTTAACATTTTGTGATATATCCTTTTCATTAACATGGACAACAGAAACCCTAATACTTTCAGCATTTTTTTGGACAGAACATTCTGTTGAAGGTAATATTGAAAGTTGAGGAGCATCACCTGATATGCCCCTGTCAGATGACTCACTCTCACAAAAGTCTGGCCTAATCAATTTTCTCCTTTTACATTGTGCAGCTGTAGCAATCTTTTCATTCTGAGTGTCACAATGGTTTCCAGTCTTACCATCTTCAAGGTTCTTTCTCACTGCACTGCGACGTTTGAAATCGACAAAAGTAGTCTCTCCAGTTTTTTCGCAGCTATTCTCCTTGCTGAATGAGGTAGACTTCAGATTCATCTCCTTCGAGATCATAGCAGGATCGTCTTTCCTGGTGGCCTGTTTTTTATCCCCAAGGTTGGCAGCAGCAGCATTGTGCTTGACTAACGGTTTAACACTTGTCTTCTCCCAATGCTTACGCCTTTGGTGCAGCATGCCCATTACTTCATCAATTGAAGTATGCCTATCAATGTCAGCAGTGATAGGACAGGTGTCACTTTCTTTTTTACGTATCTTAGGAGGCAAACCCAAGCGAGAAAACACACTACTCCTTTTCTTCCGGCGATCAGAATTCGGATATGGAGCAGGACCCAATGAAGTAACTTCATGGTAGTCAACATTTATCGGTTCATGAACATGCAGCTGCTGCTGGCCCTCTTTGTTCTCATATTCCGCCTTACTGTATATAGCCAATCTGCCATCCTCGATTGTGCTGTTATCATTAACAAAAGATTCACCATGGGGCTGGCACTCCTTAAACATAAAACCATCAGTACCGAAGTGTGCATCATTTTTACTCTCTTGCAGTTGAAAATCATGTCTCTCTTGTAATAATGTAGGATACCTGTCACTCTCTTGCTGTTGTAAATCATGTCTGTCTTGTAATAATGTAAGATACCTGTCACTCTCTTGCTGTTCAAAATCATGTCTTTCTTGTAATAACATAGGATACCTATCAGAAAAGGTAATAGAAGGAAACTTGCTAGGTTTGGTTCTAAAAGGTGATGAATGCACACCGATCCTGCCATTATTTCTAATTTCAGAAGGAGGAACAGGTGATAAAGAGGGCTTTGGAAGGGAAAGATCTCCACAGCATTCTATTTTAGAGTATTCAGCTTCTAGGTCATGTAAATAGTCAGCCCTTTGCAGGAAAGTCCTGCTGGAGTGTTCATATGAATTAGAATAAGGCAATGTAAAGTCCCTAGAACCAGAGTTGACATCAGAGGTTACGGGTGTCCTTCTGGTCTCTAACAATGAAGGAAATGATTGATTTTTCGAAGTGCCAATGACATGACCAACAAAACTATCACAACTAGCACAGCCCTGATTAAACCCCAAAGATGAGGAGCCCCTATAATTCGGAGTAGGGACATTGGGATTATAAGGAAATGCAACACTTTGATCTTCAAGATTTATCGGATGACTAACATTGGAGTTTTGCATCTCCATTGAGGGAAGGAACATTGGAGATTGCCTAGTTGGATCATTCATGAATGAATCTGTTTCTAGAACATGTTTGCTAGAATACACCAGTGGATTAACTTTAGATTGAAAAGAACTAGGATATGCTGTTGAAATGGTTGGTGCAAAACCATCATCCTTGTAACATTTTGTTTCAAATCTATCACTCTCTGCAAACCTAACATCATGGGAAATGCTTCTGAAATTACCTGAAGAATACCCTACTGAAACTGCTTGTTGAAGGTCCATTTCAGTTTTCCATTCAGTGTCCACCCTGTCACTTGTAGCATGTTCACCAGAAACTATGTCCCCTCCAACATTACCCATAAGATCCTGAAAACACTCATTTAAGAAGGCACTAGCTTTATGCTCATACCCAAAATCAGTGCATGTTCCGAGTCTGCCATCACCAGTTGATCTGTCATCGTTATAGAAAGAGTTCCCTCTGTGAATAGTGGAAATATTTGGTTCGTGATGGTTGTCCACACCATATTCACGTGGTACTTGATTTCTCATTGGAGACCTAGCAGCTAGTTTTCCATGATTTCTCATTGGAGACCTAGCAGCTAGTTTTCCATGATTTCTCATTGGAGACTTATCAACTAGCCTTCTATTTTTACTTGTAGAGTATCCACTTTTCCTTGCAACTTTACTTTCGGTCAACCGCCGTGGAGGTGCCTTATTTTCCATCCTCTTCAAACTGAACAATGATAGAAGCCTTCGAACCTGCACATTTTAAATAAAGAGAGATTATAAATTTTTAAAGGTGGAATTTCAATTTATCAAATTGGATTTTGATAGCAAAAGGGCAAACCTGATCTTCAGAGAGTCCAAAGTTAAACTTAGTTTGGGAAAAATAGTTTTCTCTGATAGCACCACGAAATTCATTTTCAGAAAGTGGATGGCAGTACCATATAAGGGTGAATTTGACCTGGATGAAAATCTGTAAGGATTAACACCTCCAAGAACGTATCCTTCCCCATCCTACTCTGAGGGATAAAAGAACATAAAACACAATAGAAATAAATGTACCCATACCTGTGCAGGGAATCGTTTCCCTGACAAACTGAATCCACCAGGCAGAATATTCATTGCACCATCAGAGCATGCTTGAAAAACACCATACAATTCTCTCCTTTCAAATTCAAACAGGAATAGAATCATCCCAGCTTTAACCTGTTTCACAAAGTGTGACTGCGAAGATGGGAGGGCAAAAACTTTCCTTCTAAAACATTCCTCTCTTGTAGAGTAGTTCGACATGAAGATTGCACCAAACTCGGGACAACTTCCAGGAAAACCATTCTTGTTTGCATCACCCATTTTTCTCACAAGGACGGGCTGTCATTCAATCATAATAACGACAATAACAGCAACCAAATGAAGGTGTATATGTCTAACATTAACTGGTTAAAGAAACTAAATTAAAAACATAATCATTGCTTTGAGAACCAACATATTGTAGCCAAGTTCTTTTAAGGTACAAAGCATCTTCAACCAACAACATACCCCTTCCCCTCACTTTCCCCCACCTCGTCTGTTCAAATATAAGTCACAAATATCTAGATCAACTAAAATATTATATTTTGATCCAATCACCAGCAAGTTATAATTATGTGATTGATCGATTCAGAGACTTAAACAGCAACACAGTTGAATTTCTCGGATTATTACAAGCAAACACTCAAATGGATGAATAATTAGAATAATGCTAAATAAGTACTACTAATTACCAAAGCCAACAAACTAAAATCCAATGAGAATTAACAGCACAATAGAGAAACAATATAGCAGCCTTCATCTCCCCGTAATTTTTTCATTACCAAAAGAGCAAAGTCACGATTACTTCAACAATCAAAACCTACTTATCTTCATGTTTAATCTAAGCAATTTAAAGACTAAATATTCAAGTAAAATTAAACCAGAAAACTACTGCACGCACCATAACAATACCTAAATCAGCAAATCTATCAAATTATTATTATTTTCCAGAGAACACCGATCAACAAAAAATAAACTCAACAATGAGAAAATCATCATGGAAAAATAAAATCAATAACAATAAGAGAAAAAACAGGAAAGCGTAGATTAGCAGAATCACAAAAGCGCCGCGTTCATGCTATCGTTTTCAATCGGTAACTAACCCTTGGAAAATTAAATTTTCATTATATATTTCCAGAATAAACAAAAATCAAAAGAAGGAAGTTACCTAAACGGAGAAAAGGAGTACTTGGTAGAGTGTAACAATGGCGATATTTCGAATTTCAAATGGAAGTTTTGAAAACAAACACGTCGCTACGGTTTTGGAGAGAACGGCAGAAAGAGAAGAAAATAAAATCTGTTTGCCTGCAAGCGTCTCTGCCATGGTACTTATAGCTGTGCTTGGGTTGTGGCGGTTTTTTCTGGGTAGTACTCTTTAATAGTCCCTTTATTGTATTTATATTATGGATTTAGTCCATATATTTAAATTTGGTCAATTTCAATCCCTTGCTTTTTGAAATTTAAATATGATCAAAGTTCAATGACTTAAGATAATTGAATAAAAGAAAAGGTTCAAATCTAATTTATATGTAACACAAAGAATAATAAAAAAAATTTAAGATTATCTTTTAATTTGAACATCAAATTAAATATAAGAACTAATTCTTGTGTTGAAGTTAAAATAAGAGCTCATTGTTAAATGCAAAAGGTGAATAAAATTTGGTTCGATTTTAAAATATAATTTTTTAATTCGATTCGATATTAAAAAGTTTAATTCATTTTGATTTGATTCAATTTGAAAATTTCAAACTCGAATCAAGTTATAAAATATAACTCAAAAAATTTTATAATTAGTGGATTGATTTTTAAGTTTGAGTCGAGTTTCTCAACTCTATATGATATATGTATATCATATATATATATTGTATATAATTATAGAAATAACTTAAAAAAATTATGCAACCTCGTATATATTTGCAAAAGTTATGCTCAAAATCGAGATCTTAATAAATAACAATAATCTTTTAACTATGGGAATCACTTAGTTCACACTATTACAAAAATAAAACTCCATTAATACAATATTTTATACAAAAATTTATATGATTATTTCCTAATGATAGAATGATAGGACTAATATGTATATATAATCTTAACCTTCTTCCCCAACAAGAAATCTTTATAGCCTACTTCAAACATATATAGTCTGTCTTTTGCCTTCTCCACATTCAGCAACACATAAAGTAATTCTCTTTTCCTTTTCTCTCATCACAATCTTCATATTCATCATTTTTTTTCTTTCAATTTCTCTTATTCTTTTTATTCATTGTTCAGGATTTTGGATTTTTCAGAACCATGGGTGACAGTCAATATTCTTTTTCCCTCACAACTTTCAGGTAATCCCTTCATCCTTTTGATACCTACATTAATGAACTGATTCAAAATTAAATTTTGAATAAACCCATCTTTTTTGGTGTTTTTGTGTAGTCCTTCGGGGAAGCTAGTTCAGATCGAGCACGCCTTGACGGCGGTGGGTTCGGGTCAAACGTCTCTCGGAATCAAAGGTGCTTTTCTCGCCTTTCCTGTTTCTAAGTGATCTGTTTGGGGTTTTAAAATTAGTGAAATAGTGGCTAATTAGTTAAATTTTTATGCTTATAAATCAATACATCGGGTTTAATTTGATGATGGGTTTTAAACTGCAGCTGCTAATGGAGTTGTAATCGCTACAGAGAAGAAATTGCCTTCAATCTTAGTTGATGAAACCTCTGTGAGTATCTGTTTTTGATACTTTTGGATTTTTAGACTTCATTTTTGCAGTTATAATCTGTTACTGTTTTAGAATATATGAAAGGGTAACTTTGTATGTTAATTGAAGAATGAAACTGAACGGCAATTATGTTGCCTCAACTATGGTGTGATACGATCTCCGAATCAAATCGAATCTACCTTAAAACGAACTGACAGCTAATGATGCTTTATGTTTTCTTCTGGGATAAGAAATGTGGTATTTTTTTTGAAATATTTGGTGTTTGATTTCAGGTTCAGAAAATACAGTGTCTGACACCAAATATTGGAGTTGTTTATAGGTTTGATTTTCATGTCCACAAACATTTAGAAAGCTAATTTCTTTAGTCCTTTTAGTATGGGTTAATATAGAATCATATTCACCGGTTGCTAATATAACTTATATGTTTTATGTGTCTTGAACTTTTAATCCAGTTCTTTGCTGTAATATAACTTCTCTATTTTGATACATATATGCCTTTTTTCCCTTATATTTTCATACTGTTCTGCAGTGGTATGGGTCCTGATTTTCGAGTTTTGGTTCGGAAAAGTAGGAAGCAAGCTGAACAATATCATAGGTTGTATAAGGTATGGTAGGCTTTTCAATGGTAGTTGTTTTACTTAATGAACTACTTCGCCTTGTATCTGGGAATTTTTTTCCCTCAAATCACGTTATGGTCGTATTGCAGCCGTGACCTGTTGGTCAAAGTTAATCTTTTCTGTAAATTTATCTTTATAATTTTGTTCAATAACTTTACTTCCTAATTCCAACATAAAAATTTATGTGTTCTTCTACCTCGCATGATTTTCTTACATGCATGAACTTTGTTTCCAGGAACCAATTCCAGTAACACAACTTGTAAGGGAAATTGCAGCTGTTATGCAGGAGTTCACCCAGTCTGGGTAAGAATTATATCGTTATGCAAACCAAAAAAGAACTATTATTCATACCTTTTTACTTCTACTTTCAGAATTTTATAAAAGAGTTTAAGTTTCTTGGTAGTCTATTTTAAGTTTCAGGCTGTGCTTTTCTTCATGATAGCTGGTTGCCAAAAAGAAAGTGACTTCATTTTGATATATATATATATATATATATATATATATATATTTCTTAAAATGTTTTTCCTGTTAGATAAAGTTTCTTCGAATTTAAGTTTGGCCATAAGATTCTGCCTCATGTGGTGGCTGAAAGTGGAACATTTGAATGAACTTCTTTTTTTTTTTTGAGAAAATTGTAATGCTATAGATTGTTAATTTTTCACATACCTTACCACTACATTTTGGGTCGATTTGAATTTATATCCGAAAATGGAAACTGAAACACTTGCAATCCTCTGGACTCATATATCTTTTCATTTATAGTGGTGTAAGGCCTTTTGGTGTATCCCTACTGGTTGCTGGATATGATGACAATGGTCCACAATTATATCAGGTATTTCTCATAGCTGTATTGGATTGTATGAGGGAGTGCATATAATGTTTTATTGTCTTTCAGCTGTATGATTCTATAACTTTTTACTAGGTGGATCCTTCTGGTTCATATTTCTCATGGAAAGCCTCGGCAATGGGGAAGAATGTCTCAAATGCAAAAACATTTCTTGAGAAGAGGTACCTACCATAAAATCTAGTTTGTAAAACAAATTCAAAACCGAATCGACTGAAGTTTCCTCACATATGTTTTATTCATTCTGGTATATGACGAGGTTTGTAGTATATCCATCATTAGAAGTCTTAACTTTTCTTGCTACCTTCATATAGATGGTATAAGCTATGATGGCAAATAGCTATGCTTCATTTCCAGAATTAAGCTGGACTTTCTTTTACTTTACATTTCCTTGTTGAAACATTGCAAATTCAATTGATTGGTCCTTTTTTGTAGATACACTGATGATATGGAGCTCGATGATGCCGTTCATACTGCTATCTTGACTCTCAAAGAGGGGTAAGTCGAGTTAAATTTCCTCCACCTGATTATCTGTAAATTTAGAACCTCCGAAAAATGTTGGTCCGAGGTGGTTTGTAGCGATGTGCATCTTTACTAGTCTTACTTGCCACTTCTCAATTTTGCAGATTTGAAGGACAAATCTCAGGGAAAAACATTGAAATTGGGATTATTGGAACTGACAAAAAATTCAGGCAAGCCCCTGCTTCAACTCTTTCCTCCTTCCTAAGTATTTTTCCGGCATTGTGCTGATGGGAAAATAACCTTTTAGCTTTAAGAACTGCCATAAGTGATCCTTTTTGGCTTTAATGTGCATTTTTTTAATCTTGCAGGGTACTTACGCCTGCCGAAATTGATGATTATTTGGCCGAAGTCGAGTAACTTGTCTTCCTATTCGAAACTATCTACCGAGTGTTTATTTTATGTAACATTTGTGTCGAGACTTCCAATTCGATCAAATATTGTTAGTTGATCACCGGAATTGACAACAAAGAACTTTGCCAATGTCGCTTGATGCCGGAACTGAAATCAGACGAGAACTGAAATCGGACGAGTTGTAAGCTTCGGGTTCAGTTTAGTTGATTTATACGATCACTTTTAAGAGCTTTTCTCTTTGATCATCATCTATTTCTTCCAATTTGTATCAGAAGGAAGGCCATCTAAGAAAATGAAACAATGTCAGAAATTATCAAGAAAAAAAAAATTAATACACCATTAATGGTGTGTAAATAAAGAAGTCAATTCCATACCGGTAGTACATACACACAACAAACTGTAATAAACGAACAATACCATTTTCCAGGCTGGTTGCCGGAAACATCCTACACCACGTTTGCCTTCAACCAAGAATCTATAAACCCAGTTTCATATGGATAGCAGAGTAAGGGCAAGTATTTGATCAAGTCGAGTTGATTTTATAACTTAAACTTTATTTGAATTTTTTTAAAGTCAAGTCAAATTTAGTTGTTTGAGTTTTTATTTAAACATAATTATAAATATTTTTAATATTATGATATTATTTGATTTCAATTTAAACAATTTTCTATAACCGATATACATATATGTATATACATATATATTTATTTATTTTCATATATGATATACATACATAGTTAAATCACAGAAAACTATACAGGAAACAATGTAATACTCCAAACACTCATAATAATGTGCTTTATAGTTGAATCTCTCAGTTTTGAATTGTCTTAGACTTAAATCTTCTTCATGTAGGTGGTTCTTTAAGAGGACAAGGAATGGAATATGGTTCTGGTTTTGTGGATGGAGTTTTTGAATCCCATTGCTCAGCAGATTCTGGATTTTCTCCGGAAGGAGGTCGATGCCGATAGGATTTGGGGTTCAGTCGATAATCTTCCTCCCACTCATGCTACTTGGTATGATCTTATTAATGTAGCTGTTCAACTTCGTTTAAACAAAAACTGGGATCCAAAGCTTCATGGCTTGCATGACTGGGATGGGCTTATGGAGCCGCTCTAACCTAGGCTGAGGCAGGAGATCGTCGAGTATGTAGAATTCGCCAAGACGACTTATGACACTTTGATCCTTTATCAGTCTTTTGCGGAGGCTGTAGGTGTACAATCGGAATAAAGTATTTGAAGAAGTAGACGTTACTAAACATGGTTACAAGATTATACCAAGTACATTTATGCCATGTTCTATGTCGATGTACGTGGTGTAAGGATTCCAATTGGATGGGATATGTTACTGTCGGCGGTGATGCTGAGATTGCAAGAGGTCCTAGTGGCATGGTGGGGCACAGTGGCTCCGACAGAGAAGTATAGTGACCTAAGAACAAGCCTGCAGTGTTTTGGCAAGACCGATATCAAGGTCCAAAGTGGATTCCTCGGCTTCTACAACTCGAAGGGTGAGTTCACAAGCTAGAACACAAGTTGAATGCAAAAGAGCAAGTCATGGAAGAAATCCGGAGACAGGCAAGGAAGTAAGCTTGACACTTTGTGGCCATAGCCTTGGAGGTGCTTTAGCACGCCTCAATGCCTACGATGCCGCAACTTACTTCCCCGATCTCTTCATCAGCGTCATCTGCTTCGCTGCACCTAGAGTTGGTAGCATACATTTCAAAGAGAAGCTCAACAAATTGGGAATCTAAGGCACTAAGTATAGTCATCCAGCAAGACATAGTCCCGAAATCACCCGGGTTTGTTGACAACACCATTTTCAACAAATTCACAGCTATCACAGGAAGACTGAAATGGATTTACAGTTACATCATGCAATTGAAGCTTGATGTGCTCCATTCCCCCTATTTAAGGTGCGATCCTGATTATACTGGGTGTTTATCGAAGTTCCGTTGGAACACGAGAAGAGACGTTGCTTCGTTGAACAAGTCAACTGATATGTTGATAAAGGAGTTGAAGATACCCAAGTGTTGGTATGAAAGGCCATTCAAGGGATTTGTGCTGAACCAATATTGAAGCTTGATGTGCTCCATTTCTCCACTTAGCATTGAGCCCACTCAAGAGCAACATCCATTTTAAATAAATTTTGTGTTTTTTTTCTTCCTGTTGATAAGATTCTTTGAGCAATATAATTTATTGGCTTGGTTTTAACTAAAATGAATTGTTGAATTCAACATTACATGTTGACATTCTATGAATTAGCCATTGACAAATTAGTTTTCCGTAAGTTTCACGCACTAAGACGATGTTATTTTCTTTATCTTTAAAGAAGATAACATAAAGTTTTTGCCAGCAAGAAAAGTAAGAACTTTGAAGGCAATGGGCTTTGCTACCAAGTGTTCAAATGACATGAATATTCACAATACGTATACAATTCAAGCTAATAACCTACTTATCAGAAGTTATCACAGAGCAATATCTTGCACTATAAGGTTTGTTACACTTGAACCCTCTAGAGCTCACTTAATTGCACAAAAATGGGTAGAAAGCTGTGGAAAATACAAGGCTGAGGAAGGTCGTGTGCATAAATTGTTCTAACGAGCAACGAGAAGTGCCCATTGTCATCTGAAGTTGCAGCAGTGTGCCTTACCTCTCGAAAGCTTGTCCCAAAGACAAATCATCTGCCTTGGGGATTGGTAATGTGCGGTATAATAGTCTACCAAACATCCATATTGACAGAACTTCCAGCTGTGGGAGTACTGGACGGTTGTGGTCTGGTTAAATTGTTTGACCCACATTCCCATACTCACATCCTCCATCTTGAAAAGCTGCGGGTAAAAAAATAATGGGGTTGATCAAACTGAAGCAGCAGATGGGAAGACAACACTTAATAATAATATAAATTTATAACTAACCCTTAGTTTTCGATCGGCATGTTGTGAGAGAATAAACTTGGCAATATCACTGGAAATAACGTATCCAGGTCCATTGGCATAGGGAGGATAAACTTCTTCGGGCCATTCCTGTACATCAGACAATAATCCGTTAAGGAATGCTCAGTATTTAATTTAACTCTTGAAGCAACACATTCCGAGCCAGAGAGTGTAATTACTTTTTAACTTCTAAGAATGCTTCTAATACACCAAAGTTGATAGTACAGACATTTTAGAATTAAAGATGTTTTATAACAGAAATACGAAAAACCACAGCAAGCAATATCATTTTGCAGCTTCTTATGATTACACATCAAAAGCTAAACAGTTTCAGAATTCAGATACAACTTTGAGTTATGTAACTGAGAAGTCAAAAAGGAAAATGAAGTAAATGTGACATTATAATTTGAAGAAGAGACGCTGAAGGTAAATTACAAAAAAAAAGTCCAGAAAGTTCATATATATGTATATATGCATACCTCATATGTAACGGCCCACTTTCCATTTCTCAAAGGACGGTGCAGAAGGTTGAGATTGCCCATATAAAGTGACTTTTTAGGAGAGATGCCATCAATTTGTTTCAAGACAGTATCGACTCTAACAAATGTGTCATCATCACATTTCATGATGTAAGCAGCTGACACATTTTGCACCTGGATCAACAAATTTTGGAGATTTAGAATCACCATTGAAAGAAATTCAACCCAGAGAACCACATAAACCCATATTCATGTACCACAAGAACTTTAATCCATAATAATTTTTTTTTGATAGGAATTGAAGGCCTCATTAAAAACCTCCTTCTTGATTAGAGAGACTTAAAGAGAAGCTCCTTGATCAGCGGAAGGAGGAAAAGAGTGCCTTAGGATTTCATTGAACATAAGAACACCAAAATACATCCAGATATCGACCCCGTACTTAAAACAAAACACCATAAAACAACCAAAAAACACCCCCATAGCAGCAACAGTAGCTCAACCTTATATCAACCACAACAGCCTCTAAAGGACTGACCCAACTAAAAGTCTAACTCTTGACTCGGAGAGCACCAGAAAACAGAACACCTAAAAAAGAGAGAAAAATGACAGCTGACTCAAACCATAGTATCCAAAATAAAACACAGACATCCAGGAGCTTCCATCCACACGAAGAGGGCAGAAAACCAAACTATAGACTCTGGCTCCAAAGCTGGAAAAATGGAATCATAATCTGGCTCCCAGAACAGACAAATCTCCCACACATTGAACCTTCTACTGCTGCTTGATTTGGCTGTATCAGGCCATTAATTGCAGAAAATAGGACAGCCAGTCTTTCAGAAAAAGGAAATGGAAGAGAGATATACCATGAACTCACCCCAAATTCACAAATTGAAATAGTTTTAAGAACCACGAGTTCATAGCGGTCCATAAATGGCAAAATTATAATATCACCAAAATAAGCTGCCTCCTCCTTTAGCACTGCATTTACCTCCTTCCTTGGATTCTGCACTTTATTACACGAATAAGTAGAGACAAAAAGAAGTAATACAAGCAATTTGAACATTAATGCCCAGAGAAGAATGTCTTGAAAAGGACAATTACATGAGAACCAAAAAGAGTATAGATTAGATAAAAGCTACACTGGCCAGGGCCACAGACATTACAACACTTCTTTTCCATAATCTCACATTGTTATTTGTGAAGCAAACTGAACTCTATGCATAACAGTCAAGTATTTAACAAGATCTTAAAATCTATAGAAAGTTCAATGACCTTACCAGTGCAACAAAGAACCGAACTACTACATTTGAAGACTTGATGACTGAAGACTGCATCCAAGTTTTCCTAATTGCCATGCGTTCCGCGAAGTGATTGGTAGCAGAGAGAATCCCAATAAAAAGTTGAATAGGTCTTTTAGGCAAGGAAGATGCTTTCCATTTTGGTGACATTTCCAACACTCTTTGTGGGGAGAAACTTGGATGAGAGGTGGGAAGAGAGGTTGCATGAACTGAATGAACATCCACATCTCCTTTTACGGCCAGCCCTGTTGCATCTTCAAGTGAAAAACCCTGAAAATATGTTTTTTTTGTGATCTTGATGTGAGATTTCCAATGCTACAAACCATGAAAATGCGTTCTTATAGATGTTGGAAAGCACAAACGTTAATATTTAACTAAAATTAAGCAACATACTGTACGATATGCAAATGAAGTCACATGTTGACCCCCAACATTGATATGATATCCATCAATGCCAGCACGGAGAGTCAGGATAAACAGTCTGCCCTCCACGAAAGCAAATGGCCAGGTAACTTCAGGTTTCTGTTCCCGTCCAATGAATCGTCTGAACCAAGAAGTTGTCTTGGACTCTTTCGAGTCTGCAACATCATTCCGAATCCATTTTTCACATCGTCGCTGTCCATCAACTACCAAAAGTATAGGTACTTGATAAATGTCCTTTGAATTTCTCTAAACTCAAACACATACACAAATAGAAGAAATAAACTGAACAAAGTCATAAAAGTACAACATAAAGGCTCTGTCTTCCACATGCAAAATACCAAACATGAAACATGCCAATCCCTCCTATTCTTCTAGCATGTAAACACATTCGAACACAAGCACTACAAAGGTTTTCAACAGGAAAGATTATAAACCAGCTTAAATGCCGTCCTCTAATTCTCCTAGTAAGCACTTTCTAAGAAATACCGTTAAAGCATTTAAGCAAAGATTATAAGTTTTTCTAGATAATTGCAGGCTATCATCATTGATATATTAAGGAAATTTAATCCATTATGTAGCATACATGATTCAATAATTTCTGTGAAGTTCTTGTTTCTTGACCATGTAGTCACATGTATTTATCCTCGAACACAAAATCGACATAGCATGGCTTATGTTCAAACAGTTATGAACTAAAATCTTTTATACCTCCAAAATAAAAGCACGTTTAATTTCAGTTGTAAAAGGAAAAATAAATAAGAAAATGAGACAAAAACTGAAAATTGGTGGTGCTTGCTAAAATTTTACCGAGCATGTCTTCATCATCCTTGGATGGCGAACCATCGCATCTTTGAGCTTTACCCCATTGCATTCTATAGCATGTGTTGTGCTCAATGACTGGCTTGTGACTCCAATCTCCTTTCAATCGAGGATTCAAATGTAAAATCTTAGGTGGAGCTTCCCCATCCACAGACTGCAACCCTTGCAATTCAACCATAAACTGTGAAACCATCACTAAACCATTACCATTCCTCAATTTTACAAGCTGGGGTACAAACTCTTGATGGGCATGTCGAGGAGTACCAACAACAGTAATTGAAGAACCAGCTTTGAGACCACATGGAAGGAACATTAGCCCCTCTCCATTAGCCAACTCTTCTCCGTTTACAGATAACCAAGCAGGACATGACTCAGGCTTCCCATCAAGCAAAGAATTCTGTTCAATCGCCTTTCCATCAAAGGCATTCAATTCTTCCCATGCTTTCAATCCTAAACTCCAAGCCTCTTCCGCCATTCTCTCAAGCACTGACAATTCACTAGTTTTATTCATTCGAAGCAAAATCTCACCCGTTATTCGACCATATGGATGCTGAAGTGGCTTAATGGGCTTTACTCCACCTCTTCCTTCCTCCAAAGGTTCCTCAGTAGGCCTCATAGGCGCATCCTGGATTAGCTTATCCTCTAGTTTCCTGTGAAACATATCTTTATAAACAGCATTAACCAAGGGTTTACCCAAATCAGCATCATTAACATCCCCAACAACCTTCCCATCCAATCCATCATATCTATCATCTCCACTCAAAACTGCTGCTATCTCCAAGAAATATGGAAGCTTAAAAGCTATGAAGATTAAGTATAACCCTCCTAAACACAAAAACAAATGAGACAACTTGAACCTCCTCCTAGTGGGAATTTCACTTTTTACCCTCTTCATCTTACAATACTTTACAAGCCAAACTACAAAATAAACTTCATCAAACTCAAAATTCACTAAATTCTTTAAGCATGCAAAAGAAACATCAAAACAAAAGACAATATCTAGATTCACCCAAGCTTTCAAGTTCACACCTTTGTAATCCTACCAACTCCGATCAATAAAACCCTTTTTTTTCCAAACAAAGAAGCAAAGAATAACCAAACCTTGTTCCTCCAAATCTGGCAATATCGCAATGAAACAAGGTTTGGGAACCGAATTCGAACCTTTTTTAACAACGTCGAAGCCTAGCTCCTCAACATTTCGCCGGCATTCTTGATATGAGGTTCCTTTTTTGTTATGTGGTTCGATCTCGAGAAATGGGGCAAAAATTTAGAGATTACCGTGAAGGATAATGTAACATTATGAGTTCGTCAATTAATACGACTTGAAAAGGCCGAAAAATAACCAGAAAAACGGAAAACAGAAGAAACAAGAGAGATTGTTACGGAACGAACTCTTTAATGCTGGCAAAGCGTAAAACGAAAACTGTAAGTCTGTTAAGGGGAATAAGTGAAAGTTGAAGGACTTAACTGCAAAAACAAATTGAAATATGTTGAAGTGGAAGGCATGTAATGTGATATTGTTAGGACTTGGGATTAAAAAATGCGCGCGTGTTCATTATCTTTGTTGTTTAATAATTTTTTTGATTAATCTATGTCAAATACCATTCATCTTTAAGTTCGGGCTCGAAAATGCCATCGGCGTTTTAATTTTACCAATTTTAGTATGGATGTTTATGTTTCAGTGCAATTTTGCCACTCCGCCGTTAATTCGTTAACGGGACGATGACATAACATCTTTTTTCCGTGATGGCGATGACATGACATCCTCATCAAAATGGCGTCGTTTTGGCACAACCGTTTTGATGCTCAAAAATCTCAAAACGTCGTCGTTTTTTTGTTGATGAAAAATATGTTTTTATGAGACTCAAACCGTAAACCTTTATAATCCAAATCTAAATACTCAACCACAAAGCTAACTTAAGAACTTGATATAACCTTGACAAAACTATTATAAATGGCATCGCTACCACCGTCACCCTCATTATCTTCTCTTAATAACTTCACTTTGGTTACACTGCTACCACCACAGACTACAAAGAAGCCAATGGAGGCCTCGTGTGTCGATATCAAATTCTCCAACGAATTCACCGGTCACCATAAAGGTCGAAGGTGTACAAAGTTTTAGTGATATACAGGAGAGGCCTAGTCCCATATCTGTTCTTTAGCCGATATTCGCAGATGATGTTATTAGCCCCGCTAGCTTCAAATCTATTTCTGGTAGACATGAGAAATCCTTTTGTTTTTCCTTTTTCATGTTCTGCATTTGTATTTAACTTTGTTGTGCTACGTTATGGATAATGCCGATTTTTGCACTGATCTTCAGGTGAAACATCCATACAACCGCTAAGAATTCGATTCGAAGAACATGATTCATCAGCAAATCACAGTGGTAGTTTTTAAAACTTGCATGGATGATAAGGAATCAATATTGGCATAAAGGCTGTGTTGCAAGCCTCAAGTTTCGACTGGGATGAACTCTACTTTAGGTTTCTTTCTTCGGATCAGCTTCTCGACCCTCTGTTGCTTGATGAGGTAGAATACTTACCCAACCAACTTTGTCATAACAAGAAACTGCTCTTCGACTGTATTAACGAAGTTCTCATCGAGGTTTGTTCGTACTATTTTGGTTCCCCCGGCATGTCATTCGTTAAAACGAATATCCATCCTCTTCCGAACTTTAAAAATACCATTGAAGAGATTCAACAAAGATTTTATTGGCATGTGCTCCCACTGCCGCTACCTCATACTTTAGACCAGGTAGTCAGAAAAGACTTGGCCAAAACAGGAACATGGATGGATCTTTGTAGTCGGGGGTGATATCAGTATAACCAAAGTGAAGTTCTTAAGAAAAGATAATGAGGGTGACGGTGGTAGTGATGCCATTTATAATAGTTTTGTTAAGGTTATATTAAGTTCTTAAGTTAGCTGGGTGGTTGGGTATTTAGATTTGGATTCTAAAGGCTAATGGTTGAATCTCATGAAGAACATATTTTTCATCAACAAAACAACGTCGTTTTGAGCTTTTTGAGCATAAAAACGATAGTGCCAAAACGACGTCGTTTTGATGAGGGTGCCATGTCATCTCCGTCACGAAAAAAAATATGTCATGTCATCGTTCCGTTAACGGATTAACGGCGGAGTGGCAAAATTGCAATGAAACATAAACGTCTGTGCTAAAATTGGCAAAATTGAAACGTCGATGGCATTTTCGAGCCCAAGCTTAAAGATGAGTGGTATTTGACATAAATTACCCTAATTTTTTATTTCATTTAATTATGTTATATAATTTTGTTAAAGCTGATTAAATATAATGTTAGGATAGTTTAGATAATAAGTTTATTTTTCATTTTTTCAACAAAAAAAATATATTTTATACATAATATAATTTTATTATCTTTAAATTATAGGATAAAGTACACAAATGGTCTCCCGACTATAGGGCGCTACTTTATTAAATCTTTCGACTATTAAAAGGTACAAAATAGTCATTCGACTATAAGGTGTTACTTTGTTGAGTCCTCAACTATTAGAAGTTACAAAATAGTCACCTAACCATTCATATAGTCCAAATTTATCATTTTCCGTTAAAATGTGGAGATTGTCTCAACTAAATGTTAACATGTTCATTGAATGTTTGAGTTGTATTTTGTGGATCGAGTCTATGTTTACATTATGTTATTAAGTCGGTTCTTGAAACATTATGTCATCGATCCATTGATTGAAACCAACGACGGTGTCAATAGACATTATTAAAATATAATTTTATCATATTTTAGTCATTGTGTTAACGTCCAGATTAAATGGTCGTTCAATTTTTAACAAAAAAGGACAAGTTTGGAACATATGAATAGTCGAATGACTATTTTGTAACTTTTAGTAGTCGGAGACTCAACAAAGCAACACTCTATAGTTGAATAATTATTTTATAACTTTTAATAGTTAGGAGACTCAATAAAGCAATACCCTATAATCGGTGACCATTTGTGTACTTTACCTTAAATTTTAATACAATAATTGGTCGATACATGAAAATAAGATAGTATCTCCGTTCGAATTAAATCAAGATAAATTCACACGTACTTATAAGTAATATTATTCGAATATGAGTCACCTAAAGAATATAACATTATCTGATTATTGTTTTTTAGTTCTATTTTATAATAAACTTTATAAATAAAATAATTATTGAGATTAGATAAACCAACTTAATTATAAAAACAATATGTGATAAACTAAAGATAGATAAATTTTAAAATTTAAAACTATAAGATACTGATTATTGGTAAAAAATGAGTATTTTAAATTACATTTAAAAGTATAACTAAAAATAAATACAAAATATAATTCAATATAATTAGTTTTATGTTTAACTACTAAAATGAGTATTATATTTTGACCACTAAGTCATCAACATAGCTTGGTGACATGATACGTTAGTAAAATGGATTGATTTTTAATTTGACCCTAAATTTTAAACAGTACTCATTTGACCCTTTTATTTTAGGTAAAATATCATTTTGACCTCTAAATTTTAAATAAATTATCAATTTGATTGCTAAATTCAATCAAAGTCTCTCATCATTGGTCGCCACTCACCACTGTCATTGTCAGTCACCGTCAGAAGCCATCGATCGTCCTAGTTGATAATTTTGGACTCTAAAATTTTCAGTTCACTCTTTTGACCTCTTGAATGCGAATCCGATATTCAATTCGGATGATGCCCCAAACTCAACAAATATAAAAAATTATAGGACTAAAAATGATTAAATTAAAGTATATAAATTGAATCCATAATTTACACATAGTACATGGACTGATAGAAGAATTAGAGCAAATCATTATTCCAGGTTACAGATATTTAGGCTTAATTATCCGAAAAGTCCTCATAAAATAATTAAAAAATCAATTGAAACTACTGCTCGAAAAGTTAGATCAATTTAGCCCGCAATAACGCCCAAGTTACAACGACGCAGAACAAAGTCCAAATCTCCACAACGACGATGAACGCTGCAACCAGAATGTTTCCATATCCACACACTCAACCGATAGTGGCGAGTTCAATAATGACAATAATATTAAAATATGATTACAACGCATTATAACAGTCATATCATAACGATTTTCAAGGTCATCGCGATACTTAAATCGTATCCATAATTAAAAAAATATAGTTACTTTTAAGAAATAAATAACATTGCACCGTATGCAATATCGACAACCACGACAACGACCCCTTGTTGTGGAGTTTGGTTGGTGAAGGAAGGAAGATTAAGCAGGAACTAGAAAACATGAAATTCACGTACGAAATGTACCGATTTCCTTTCATATTTATGTTGTTTGCTTGAGTTTTAATCAAGCATGCAAATTATGACAGAACTGGTTTTCTTTTACGTCAAGAAAAGCGATTTATGACGCGAGTGAACACAGCATAAAGTCTCTGATGATCATTGCATGACGTATAGCCTTGAATCTGGATTATGTATTTAAGAACTTGAGCTTCCTGTTGTCTGCATGTTATGGGGAAGAAGCAGTATGTATGAAATATTATCAGCTGCCGAATCTTCTCAAGTGGTACTAGCGTACCTGTAATTGTTGTTTTTGGACATAACGTGATAGAGAAGATGGTTAATGATATGAAAATAATAAATTATGCCTCAATGGTCACTCCATTCATCTCTGCTGAGATAACTTCTACTCATTCGAAGTGGAGTCTGTCAGGCAATCAGTCAAAACCCTAACGATGATCAGTATTGTTGTGTGAATAATGTGAGAAGTCTTGTGACTCCGGCACGGTGACCGGGGGCTGCCGAACGGCGGCAGCCAAAGATAAAAGAGAAATCAGTTGCTAAAGTTTAGTGAAGAGAACAAATAAGAGGAAAATAGGGTTTTCCTAAAAGTGGAGACAAATGATTACAGAGGTTTGGGTAAATTCAACGTATATAGCCCAACACATGAGTGGCTTATATAGCCCAAACTATAACAGAAAAAAAAACGTCGGCGGCAACTAACATAAAAGTGCTCAAATACGTACAACAACAACTAACATAGTTATGAACTTGAACTTACTAATAATTTAATAACATCATAAAAGTATAAGAACCAAATTATACCAAATTAAAGTTGAAGGATTAAATTTTAGATTTTATCATAGTATAAGGACTAAAACCACAACAAACCCTTTTTGAGACATATAAATGGAGTATATGATAATTAGTTTACTGTTTGGTTGGAGACACTTTGTCACCCAAAACATGGTCAAGAAAAAGATCATAGGATTTGGTGGTCAATGTCTTGCTCCCCATTAATTATTGCTACTAATATAATCATTGATTAATGATGCTTTCAAGTTTCAAACGTCGATTACTGAGG